TAAAGAGGCAATTAAGTTAAAATGAGGTCATTGGGGTGGGCTATAATCCAATCGGACTGGTGTCCTATAAGAAGAGGAGATGAGGACACAGACACGCAGAGGGAAGACCACGTGAGGACACAGGGAGAAGACGGCCATCTGCAAGCCAAGGAGAGAGGCCACAGGAGAAACCAGCCCCGCCCACACCTGATCTCAGACTCCCAGCCTCCGGAATGGTGATAAAAATAAATGTCTGCTGTTTAAGCCACCCAGTCTGTGGTACTCTGCTATGGCAGCCGTAGCAAACTGACACAGGCAGTATGTCAAAGACTTCAAACTAATGGATTGGCCTGGATTCCAGCTCCACTACTTGCTGGCTGTGTGACCTGGGACAAGTTAACTTTTCCTCTCTTAGCCTCAGTTTCCCTATCTATAGAATGGGGATGATAATAGTACCTATCTCCATGTGGTTGTGAGGAATAAATGAGATAATCCATATGAGGTGTATGGCCCAGGGTCAATAAATGAGGTTAATGACCAGGGAGATCCCTCTCAGCTTCGCACTGCTAAACTCAGACCAAACTATTGCTGCCCCACCGCAAGGCACAGCTGCAGCCATGACAGAGGGGCCGCTGGACTCTGGGAAGGGACAGAGGGCTAGGCACTTGGTTTATTATGTTCCTGACATATTTAACACAGAAACATCTTTGACTCAATTGGATACAAGAGCCAGATACTCTCCGTTCTTTAACTTATTCAACAACAACTTGCTGACTATATTCCCAACATTTTCTAGGCCCCGGGAATGGAGGTCAGGAAGACACACAAGCTCCTGCCCTTCATGGAGCTCCCATGACAGCAGGAGACAAACAATAGCAAGTAAGCCCCTAAATCAATGAGATGATTGCAAGTAGTGATAAAGGTACGATCACAGCTCTATTGATAATCACCAGAGACTATAAAAAACCAAGATGCCCTTCGGCAGGTGGACGGATGAACAAACTGTGCGTCCACATCACGGAATACTACGTGGCCATAAGGAGGAGGCAACTGCTGAAAAACACAACCCCCTCATGAATCACAGCCCTTATACTGAGTAAAAGACGCCACTCTCAAAGGTTACATTCTGACAATTCTGACAACCCCCTAAGACGACCAGGGCTAGGGCCAAGACCCTCAGCTCCCAGCTTCCCTCTCGGCCCACAGCTCCTCGCCAGGAGGGTGAAGCCAGGATACACCTGACTACTGGCTTCCTCTGCGTTTATCCCTCTCTTCCCTTGCCCCCCTGCCCCGTCTGCCACTGTGTACCGCTTTATGCTGAGGTTTCTCGACCTCAGCACCATTAACATTCTGGGCCAGATAATTTTTGTAAGGTGTGCATTGTCCTGTGAATTGCAGGACATTTAGCGGCATTCCTCTAGGTGCCAATAGCGCCTCCTACTTGTGACACTAAGAATGTCTCCAGATATTTCCACGTGTCCTCTGGTGGGCAAAGTCACTCTGACCCACCCTGGCTAGGACCACTGGTCACCACCACTTCCTTCTTCCTAAGGTGACATCCGCCCTCCCCACTCCCCTGCAGCAATGATGGCAGAATGCCTTTCCAGGAATAACATTTTTAGAGGAGAAGATCTCAAACTACATTTGTTTACTGTTTTCTAAATATTATTTCTGATATTTTTTCCAATCCTCTGAACAGCACTGCAAGATAGTTACTATGTAGCCCAGTGTTAAAGCAGGAAGCTGAGCATGGCGGTGCAGATACTGTGGCCGAGGGCAGAGAGCGGATGGTCTGATGTCGGGGGCTCGTACTTCCCAAGCACAAACTCAAACTAAACTACTTTGTGCAGCAGAGACTAGAACGAGTTGATGACTCTGTTCGCAATGTCATTCTGGCATGCTACTTATTCTTGGGAACAATCTGATTTTTTTATTTGTTTTTACTTTTATAATCTCTCTCTCTTCAAGCTCACATTGGGCCTACACATTGTACTTCAGTTTTTACATCAGCCTGGGGCCAAAACCAAACACAATTCTGACTTATTAAATAAAAAGAGCATACTGATGTTTTGGAATCTCTTGACTAATAACGTGGAAATACCACCAACTCCTTCACAAATATTGAGTCTGACACCCTCAGAGCAGGAGTTAAGTTATTCCTGTTAAAATAATTAACTGGGAGGTCACTAGGCTAAGCCGGCTACACAGCACCTTGGGTTCATAGGTAAGCAAACCAAAACCCAATTCGATGCAAACGATAAAACAACACTTAAGCTTATAATCAGAAACCTCCAAGTAACCTCTAACTAAGGACTTTCCACTTGAACAATCAGATATATTTTCTTCGTCTTGCTTCCACAAACACCTTACAGAAGTTTCTCTCTCTTGCTCCTCCCCCAAGTCCAGCACACAGTGGAGCGCTGCCCCGCTTGCAGCCTGGTGCTGTTTATTTCACGAATAGCTGAATGCTCAAATAAACTCATTAAAATGTTAATGGGCCTAAGTTTATCTTTTAACACTCTCTAGAAATTTCAGCCAACATTTTTTTCCCGGCCATGAAAGTGCTCAACCTGTGCTGTCTTTGAGGCTGCTGGAGGTCACGCAGCTCCGCGGAGGGGGAGGGAAGCGTGCGGGGCACATGACCCCAGTGGGGGGCGTCGGCGCCCGTGGGCGGCGGGCTTGGCGAGGGGCCCGCAGTGATTGTGATGTGTCCCTCATGGAGAGTGTCTCCCAGATGACTGAAAATCACGGATCTACTCAAGCCTTTCATTTCACAGACAGAGGAAAAGAGTCCTTTGCGGGGAAAGCAGCAAGCCCGGGTCACGGAGAGTTAGGAAAGGGAGCGCCAGCCCCAGGACTCACACGCGTTTCTTGTCACACCAGGCTTCTGCGTGCAGCCCTCACTATTAAAGTTGACCGACATGAAATTGCCAAATTTTATAGATTTGTTTTCCTGCAAAAATGGCAACTTCATATGGTTCCACCTAACAAGGGAGTAACGGAAAGACCAAGCAGTAAACAATTTATAGCGCGGGTCACTCCGGCACTGCAGATGATATTGCTTCGCACAACCCCAGTGGCAAAGCTGCAGGCACGTCCCGGTTGGGCAGGACGTTAGACCGTGGGTCTGATGACTAGAACCAATTCCCATAAAACTGAATAGCCGTGGCCACTGCTAGGATCATTCATCCCAGGTACAGTGCCGCGAAGTCAGCTCCGTAGGTACAAAAGCAAGACACCTGCATGCACAGTCGTCAGCCTTGTAAGGAAAAAAGACACCAGCTCTTATTACTGCCTATGAAATTTAAGAAGGGGCTAAGCAAGAACCAGTGAAATCTTCGGTGATTGTTCCAAAATTCTCATCCTTCTCAGAATGCACACACGGGCCTCATCCCTTCCCCACCTCTGTCCAGGCTCGCCTCCCTCCCTCCTCCACCCCGCAAGGGCCCACACACCCCCCCTTTCCAGGTATTTTTCCCAATCCTTCTTTCCAGGGAGATGAGTTGCTCCTCAGTCTGAGTCCCTGCTGCATCGAACGTCTCTTTTGTCATATTATATGTAAATTATTTATTTAGCTGTTTGTCTTCTTTCTCCACTGCAGAGTGAGCTCTTCAAAAGCAGAAATCATTGTTGTATTATTGTTATAATTGTTATATTGCAGAATATACCACAATATGTCATACTACAGTAATATATATTATTAATAATGTTAATGTATAATAATCTGCCATATAATCTTAAAAAAATTCATGCTTATTTTAAAATTTTGAATTTAAAATAAAGCTGTGAGATAGAATCATTTTCTATGAAATCCCTAAAAAAGCCACGACCCTGAAAACCCTAACACACCAGGGAGGCGTGAGCAGCGGCCACCAGGCTCCAGCCCTGGGATGGCAGCTGTGGGGCTGCAACTCCCACCAGACCGAACGGCTGGCACTGGGCGTATAGGGAGGTAATGCCATTCTGTCGTGAGAGTCCAGACTTTCAGCAAATACCCCTCCAAAAGGACGCTCTCAAGATTACAAAAAAAAAAAAAAAGTTATAAGTACCAGTGAGAATAGGCTGAGGTAAACGCAGCCCTGAGCTGAGTGGCCAGGCTGGAAAGGCCACTCATAGGAAACTGCTGCCGCTACTGCGGTGACCTCACACGGCAGCCGCAGGGGCAGGAGCACGAAACTTGCCAAAGCGAGTTCGATCAAAACTGACTTAACAGCTCATGTGATTGCACTAGCTTTTAAGTTTAAGTTATTAACACTGTTTGAAGACTGAGAGTTTATCGTTGATAGAACAGGTACCTTCTCTGCTGTGTGTGACAGTGAGACCAAATTATTCCCAGGTCTTTGGTAAAATGTCCCCTTTCGAGGTACCTACGGGCTCACGAGCCACCCACAGACCAGAAAAGAAAATACAACCCAATCATTAAAAAGAAATTGCAAATACTACCACTAATAAATCTGCAGTAAATAGATTGGAGAAGTCAAACAGCACAAGAAAAGGAGAACAGGCGAACCACACAGGTCTAAATTCTTCCTGGGGAAACTGCTTTGGCCTCTTCCTCTCCCCACAGGCTCGAGCAAAGCCCTGCCACCAATTCAGAAGTATCACTTACTAAATCCTAACTGTCAATACCAGCTTGCATGCGCCACGTCAGATTCTTTCTTAGTTGCCAGATGCACCAAGCAACACAGACTAGTATTTGTTCTCGAAGTTTTCCTGGAACTATTCCAAACAGTCCTCCTCTCTAATTGTCCTCGACTTTTAATATTAGAGCTCTGTAAGTTCACTGCATTAGTTATTCTAAATGACACGCCTGGCTTCAAAGTGTCCTCTAAAAGAAGGACTCAGCAAATCCATATTTAACACCAGTAACAGGAAAAAAATAACTCAGGCCAAAATGAATTGTAATTAACACAGGAACACTTTTATGTAATCCAAGGCATGTAATAATTACGTTAAATATTCTAAAAGATTTCCTTTGTGGTAAAATGCATGTGTGTTCTCTATGATTCATTTTAACTTACCTTTTGAATGACATTGTTAATCTCTGGAGTGTTTGGTGTGTACAGTATTTTTCCATGTAATACAGGTTTCAGGAAGGACCACACCAAAGCACCATTTGGAGACTGCAGAATTTCCTGATAAAGCTTTAAGCAAAACGGTGCTGTCACAAAAAGAAAGAACGAAAGTATTACGGAATGCCCAGGTTAATAGGGAACTAACCACGATACTCGTTTTCAATGAATGACTTAGATATGTTTCTCCTGACATAGCTCTGAACTTGGGGAGTAAACCAAGAATATTTTTCCTTGTTACAGTTTTCAGCAGCTCGTGTCTCATGAGAAGCTTCATGTTACTTGTTCACTTCAGTGATTTCACAGAAAGGGAAGCGTGACTCACACTTTCAAACTAAGATGTCAAGAAGAGCACTACATGATGACATAGATACTTGAAAATGACAATGGTAATTAAAATAATAAATCTGGTTTTTAATCGAGAAAATTCTCATTTGAACAGTCATCATATTGAGACCAGAATTAAGATTTTTAATGAAGTCAGCTTTACACGTTACTACTAAATTTTCTTTAATGTAACTGTGCATCAAAGTAAGGTTCACTAGTGCTAACTTTCAAACTTATTACTTTTGATAAGTAGTTGCCTTATTTTCACTCAAACACTTACTTCCTCTCGGTGGCTCTCGTCATTGTTGTGATGCTAGAGTTGGTTTCGATTACAGATTTATTTAACTAAATCAGTAGATACCTGATGAAGGTAGAGCTTTCATCACTGCAGTGATTAAGACTAAACATTATGAGATTGTAAGCTAGTGAGGAATACTTCAGTATAACTAGCTCTTTACCCATAAACAGAACATTTAAAATGGAAGTATTATGTTAGCTTCAATATCCGATTCATAATACTCAAGGTATGAAGAGTACCGTTGTGATGATTTTAACTGTTAATTTCATCTCCCCAAATTCTCCATTTGGAAAGACAAAAAGTTATTTTTATTTGACAAATGCAATAAAATCGATAGAAATAATTCCCTAAAATATAAATTACGAGCATGACCACACGATGAATTTTTAAAGCATTAATTTATAGAGGTTACTGTTACTGTAATTTAACAACTTACTCTCTAAATTGCAAGCTTAATATAGACAGTAGCAATTTTTATTGCAAGGCATAATCATTACATGTACAGAACTAAAAATTTAAATCCAGGAATCTTAACATCTGCCACTTGTGAACTGTGTGAACTTGAGCAAGTCACTTAAGCTGAGCTTCTATGGCGTTATTTGAAAAATGGGACAGTAATATTGTCTGTCAAGTATGTATTTCAACCATTTGAAATAAAAGATATGAAAAGACCCATAAAAACTGGCCCTCAGTATCAGCTGCATGACTGGATGGGCGGAAGGGTAGATGGATGAATAGATGGATGGATGATTGGATTGCATGCACAAATCAACAACCCTCAAGAATCCCAAATGCAAAAAAAGAAGAGAAAATGAGGATTAGGAAAAGAGACAACAAAAATAATTAAATATTAATAGCCTTAATGTGTGTTTATATTACCAAATTACCTGATATTGGATAGCCATCCAAATTATGCACCAGCTGGTGAACACACTGACAGACTGCCTCTCAGGTAGCCCTGAGGACACTGTTACCTGGCTGCTCATCCTATACCTCCAGCTCTTGGAGAATCCCATGTTCCTTCCCTTCCCCAGTCCCACCAACACCTCTGTCCTCAGTTCCATTCTAGGCACTAAGTATAGAAAGACAGATCTTGGATGTGGTAGGCAGAATTCTAGAAGGATCCCTGGAGTTTAAGCCTTGTATGATCTCCTGCCCTGAGTGCAGAAAGAACCTGCCACACCCATGATTGGGTTTTACAGCAAGGAGAAAGAATATCGAAGATGTAAATAAGGTCTCTTAATTGGTTTACTTGGAATCAAACAAAGGGCTGAGCAATCAGGTAAATCCTTCAAAAGAGACTGGAAGCCTCAGAGTCAGAGAGATACTCCTGTTGGAGTATCTCTCTGCAGAGCAGCTTCAAGGAAAATAATTCTACCAGCAATGACCTGAGCCTCTGATGAGACTCCAGCCCTGGCCAACGCCTTCATTACAGCCTTCTGAGATCCCGAGCACAGAACCAGCTAACCAGCGCCTAAATGCTGACCTACAGAAATTACGAGATGATAAATGTATGTTGTCGTAAGCCGCTAAGTGTGTGGTGATTTGTCCTGCAGGATAGAAAACGAATACACTTAGGATACATTTACGTTATGCTAAGCTGCTAATGCTCCTCATCGCCATTGCGCAGCACAACACATTATGAGCGAGGTGCTACTGTTTCCATGTCAGAGATGAGACCAGCGTGATTCAGACACATAAAATAATGTGACTAAAAAAGCACAACTGGTCCAGCTGAACCATCTAAACCCCAAATCCTCACCAGTATGTTTTGTCTGCCTTTCTAATAAAATTTATTCACTTAAAATGTGGCCAGAAAATCACTTATCAATCCACATTCATTTGCATCTGAGATTGATAGCAAATTTGGAGGTGGCCACAGACTAGTTCTCTTTGTTATATGACATGGTCATTTTGCAAGGACGCAAATGGTGCCCGTGGTCTTTGTGCCTGGACCCTCACTGAGTCTGATTAGCAGGGAAACCAAAGGGGCTGGAGTTTCAGGGGTGTTAGATGTTTCTAGCCCAGTTCCTTGGTGACATGGGTGGGAGGATTAGTCTGTGCTCACAGACACTAGGTTCTTCCAAAGCCAACTGCCATCCGAGCATTTGGAGACCTTACTAAAACGAAGATGGATAAAGCTAAGGAGGTGGAGGCAGAGGATTCTATACCAACATGTACCAGCCATCTACACAGACAGAATATCTGGTATAAAGTAGAATGAATTATCAAGATACAAATTAACCTAAGCAAATAGAGATTACTATTGTCTTACTTGAATCTTCAGGAATATTAAATTTTTCTTTGTCATCTTCCAGGAGTTCATTAACTCTGGGCAAATTAATGAACATGTTAGAATTGCTGAGGAATGACGTGTGGTCCTTGCAAATCATCTTTAACACAGACTGGAAAGAACCAAAGGCTGAACTTCTGGCCTGGACATTTTGTGAAACCTGAGAAAATTTTAAAAAATAAATTGCAATTATATAGTGACTTAAAGCAACTCCCTGACACACTTCTGAAATTCTAGACCCTTCTACAACTGAATGTACAAGATGTTCGACAGCTCAAAAGAATGAAAACTCTGCGTTAGACTTTTCTGCCCTTGGTATACCATTCAAATCCCTGCAATGATTTTTCTGGCCAGCACACCTGGTAGAAGAGAAAAATGTCACAAACACACACACACACACACACACACACACACACACATACTAGCAAGTTCTTGTTTGTCCAGTAACAAATTATTAATCCATAAAATATCACTAACTCAGACTAACTATTAATAATAACCTTAATGTGTGTCTATACTGCCAAATTACCCGGATATTTGACAGTAATCCAAATTGCCCATCAGTGGAGGGACTAACTGACATTCTGATTCCAAGGCAGCTCTGAGGACATCGCTATCTGGCTCACCCTACACCCCCCACACTAGATAATCCCACAGCCCTCCTTGTCTGTGCCCATCGGTTCCATCCCAGGCAAAGAGAGTTCAAGCAAAAACGAATATCAATCCACTAAGCTAAGTTTGTGTTTGCATTTGCAGCAAATGATCTGTAATTTGTAAGCCAATTATTTATATGTAAATAAATGTTTTAAGGTCTTGGAAAGCAATTTGCTTTCCGAATTAAGTTAAACAGGCCCTTGAAATCTCATTTTTGCTAATAATTGAGTTAGTAATTTTTTACTTCGTAAACAACACACAAACTATCCCAATCTCTCCATTGGTGGAATGTGGATCCACAGTATCTCTTTGATCCAGTTTTCAGGGAGAAGCCAGGACTTATTCTTTGTCATGCTGTTGCCTCCAGAGATATTAAAAGGTCCTATATTTTGTTGTGTAATGCAAATTTTAGATGTGGGAAGACAAATAAAGGCAAGAAGGAACAAATACAAAGAGAGAGCAAGTTCAGATATTTTCCCAGTGGCAAAGATCAAACACACACCTGTTGAAAGTCCGGCATATCCAGCAAGGCAGTGAGTTTAAATGTGTGAATGAACTCGGGAAGGTATTCAAAGACGTGCTGGCCTTTGGCAAGCAGCAAGCTGAGGCTGGAAACTACATCCAACAGGGAGTCGAGCAAACCATTTGCTTCAGAAGGTATCAGAGTCTTAAAGGAAAATAAAACAACAAAAACAACATGAAATAACCAACAGTGTATTTTTTTCTGTCAAGCGCATCACTTGAGCAGTGAAAACTTGGTTATTGGATGTTATTCTCTCTCTCGTACTTCAGAGTCATCTTTGTTGTACAATATAAAAATCTTCTTTATGGAGTAAACATAGTTCAGTTTTTTGGAGCATACTAAATTGTTCCAGTATTGTTAAAATGTAAACCAGACCAAATGTGATCTATAGTTAAAATTCAAACCATTTTCAAAATACTCCTTTGTATGTTTGAGGTGAGCAAGGTGGAAATTTGAGAAGAGGCTCAAAATAAAGCCAGGCTTACGTGTGAGACCGTTTACACCTGTCTGCCGCTGACTGTGTTCGTAACGCTCACGTCTCTTCAGTGTCCTTAGTACCCGGGCTGTCTCACAGTGCTCGCTCCGTGGGCGGAAACACTGAGGCTGGGAGGGATTCAAGGGCTTCCTGAGGTCTCACAGTGAGAAAGATTCAAGGCTCTGAATGTAACCTGGTTCTTTAAAAATATCAGTGCCCTTTGCAATCTACTTGTGCTGTCATCACCTGAGACACTATGTATTTTACTTGTTATTTGCATATTCTCAGCTCTAGACTGTAAATCCCACAGAGGCAGGGGTTTTTCCTGTCTTGATCATTTGTGTAGCTACCAGGGATAGAACAGCATCTGCAAACATCAGTCGCTCAATAAGTATTTGTTGGATAAATGGCTATATGAGCAAACACTGGCTTTTTCCGCGGGGCGGGAGAACTCATAATGAATCTCCTCCCTCTGTCATTCGCGTACTAAATTTTTGGTTTTCCAGACTGGTGTGGAGGAACCCAGTTGTCACTGTGTCTTATTTTTGCTCTTTAGGGTTCTGCCCCTGCCACTTAGCTGCTGGCTCTGCTCTGACCTTCAGGGCCCTGCGATCACAGCTCCACCCTTCGCAGGCGCACTTTGCTGGTAACGAGGTGGTTCCATCCATTCAGACTACAGGGACAACTCAAGCAGGAGAAATGGCGTGTAGTTTTGGACACTTTTTCTACTCGCCTTTCTAATTATGGCCACCCTTTAGAAATGGCACATGGCGACCCCTGACTCATGGTGGACTCAGTAGCAGTACCAGCAGAACAGATGAATGGCCGAATTAATATGGCAAACCATGTTTTGCAGGGAGCTTCAGGAATTTGTTGTCAACCGAGTGAAACAGAAAAGATGTGGACGTGGGAGTGAGCTGCAGCTGCCCCATAGTCCCCATATGGTCACCCGTCACTGTGCCGTGGGACCGCTCTGCCATCTCTATTTAATCAGCATTCATAGAGCCCTGCACACAGGAGGTACCTGCTGAACAGGAGCTGTTGTTATTTACGGTGGTGTCATTTTCACTGTGTCTGGGAGACTGAGTCCAACCCACATTCTCATCCTCCAAAGGAATCTTGGCACAGATGATGACCCTGTCACAGTAATTACTCGAGCCCCAAGTACTCATTTCCAATTGGTGGCCTTTGGGCACATGACAGAGTGACCACTAAAATATCCACTCACCAGTGGAGCTCTGTTTCCCCAAAGGTGTATTGTAAAGTTACAAGAGGAGCTGCCAGGCGCAAATGCAGAACAGAACTGTTCTTCCTGTTAGCTGGAAGTATTAATTTTACTGAGGCAGAGGTGGGATTACAAATTACTTAGGAAATGTTTATCCTCCTCCTTATGGGTTTAAAATGTATTCGTCCTGAAAATGAATATCTGTTCCTGGAGCATGTGTGTGTGTGTGTGTGTCAGAGAGAGAGAGAGAGAGAGACAGACAGACAGACAGAGAGAGAGAGATCCAACATTTACCCACTGGGTTCTTGGAGTAACAGAAGGGAAGGAGGCCATGAATGGCTGGAATGGCAAATCCACCCTTTCCTGAACCCAAGACTGTTCTGGACGTGGAACACCTACAGCCATGCTGCAAACCCTCTGATTCCCCCCGATGTTGTGAAATACATCCCTAAAGAAAAACAGTGGAACTTGGAGCAAGATTGATCCCTAAATGTGGGAGGTGAAGTTTCTAAAAGTGTAAGTTAGGGTTCAAACGGTGGAGGCCAGAAAAAGGAGGAACTTCTGGAAGGGGCAGCCCGAGAGCAGGAGGCCAAGGTTGGGAACTGGGTTGCCCCCACGCCAGCTGTCTGGGAAGGGCTGGACTCAGGCTTGCCCCAGCTCCCGCTCGCTTTCCACTTTCAAGTCTTTCCTGCAAACACTGTCATCTTCAGATTTCTCCAACCTCCACACACTCACGCCGCTGTGTGTGGGAGAGTTGTGGGGTAGGTAAGAGCCGGCACACGCAGTAACGTGGGTGGCCGTGCTGCCCACCCCCCCACGCCCTCTCCGGGGCAGGGCCAGGCAGAGCCGGGCGCTCCATACTGCTGGGACAGGGCCATGGCAGGGTGGGAGCAGCACCTGACTCCGCAGCTCGGGTGGACGCACACAATCCCAGTCTTCCCAAACACACTCCAGGAAGGTGGTCTGTAGGACGAGGGAGCAGCTGGCATGAGGGCCGGTGGTGTTCTTTGCTGTTGGTCCTGTGCGTTGAGTGTGGAGACCAGCAGCGGAGCTGTGCCAAACGCGCTGATGTGCTGCTTCCAAGGGCCCCCGGAAATGTCTCCTGAACATCCCTTTATTCCAGCAAAGCCTCTTTGAACTCCACCCCAGGGGCAGCACACAGGTGACAGCAGAGATAAGCCGAGGCTGCCACAGAGCGGCCTGGTGCCACGGTCTCCTGCTCTACTCCTCTCATAGACATGGACCGCTCTGCGGAAAGCCAAACCGCCCCTGGCCGGCGCACTCTGTACCTTGTAAATGAAAGTCCGCAAGTTCAGGTTTCGACTCATCAACACAATCAGAGGAAACACTTTTGACCCCGGCAGACCACAGAGCTCCTTTGTTGCGAGCCAAGATTTCTCATCCTCAGGAAATGTCAGCAGGAGACGAAGGATTTCCTGATCACACTTTCCAGACAGAGCGAGGGTGAGGGCACTAGCGAGAACCTGTCTCAAAGAGTGAAGATCAGAAGTGAGGACACCCAGGACGTTGCAGGCTTTGGTACCCCAGACCCAGAGCTTCCCCAACGAGGAGTCGCCCGAGAGTGCGTTTCCTAACCTGCTGGGGACCGACCTGGTGTGCATGGAGCCTGGCCCCGGGCTCTACTTTCAACGTTCTGAATGGAAATGGTCCTGAAGTACGCACAGCATTCTCTGACTTCTGTGCCACCTGCCCTTGCCTGAGGGCTGGGAGCTCTGTTCCAAAATCCTGTCCCTCTGCTCTCTGCTCGCCCACCCGCCCCCACTCCCGAGGCTGCCCTCGTGGTTAACATTCGTGTCTTCTTCGTCTGGTATTAAGTCTTACCCTTTGCTTTCAGTTTACCAGCTTCCGCTTTTCACTCTTACCAGTGGGCAACTGACATTTTTTACCTCCTCCATGTCCAGATTGAAAAAAGGATTACCAAATTGTCACTTATTTTTAAAGAAAAAGCAAATAAACTCAGAAGGAGGCAGAAAAAACAACTCGTATTATTATCTAGTTTGTTGGTATTTTGTACCACAATCAAAAGCTCTGAGGTGCCTCTTCACTTGGGCAGACTTTCAGGTAATGATCTTCGTAATATATCAGATTACAAAACAAACTAAAACAAAACCATACTTTCTGTTCCGCGCATACATTCTTTTTTTTTTTTTTTTTTTTTTGAGACAGAGTCTCACTGTGTTGCCTGGGCTAGAGTGCCGTGACATCAGCCTAGCTCACAGCAACCTCACACTCCTGGGCTCAAGCAATTCTCCTGTCTCAGCCTCCCGAGTAGCTGGGACTACAGGCATGCACCACCATGCCCAGCTAATTTTTTCTGTATATTTTTAGTTGTCCAATTAATTTCTTTCTAATTTTAGTAGAGACGGGTCTCGCTCTTGCTCAGGCTGGTTTCGAACTCCTGAGCTCAAACAATCCACCCGCCTCGGCCTCCCAGAGTGCTAGGATTACAGGCGTGAGCCACCTCTCCCGGCCACGCATACACTCTTGATGGGTATGATTGCCGTGACACAGTCAGGCCAAGTGAGGCCTCAGCGCACTAACCCCTGTGAATAGGAGCTATTGCGTACCTGCCCTGAGAACAGGTAGAACTCATCAGATGATTTCATATGCCATAAAATGCCAAAAAAATAATTAAGAGATAGAAGAGTGTGTTAGGGTGCTCCAGAGAAACAGAACCACTAGGATGTGTGTGTTTAAATACAGTCATGCATCATTTAGCTGTGGGGACACATTCTGAGAAGTGAGTCAGTAGGTGATTCCACCACTGTGTGAACATCGCAGCATACAGTGTACAGACACAAACCTAGATAGCAGAGTCCGCGGCACATCTGGGCTATATGGTACAGCCTCTAGCTGCTGGGCTGCACACCTGTATAGCGTGTTGCCGTACTGAATACTGCAGGCCATTGTAACACAATGGTAAGCATTTGTGTATGTAAACATGTCTAAACATAGAAAAGGCATAGCAATAGTATGGTATTATAATGTTCTTATGGGACCACCATTGCATATTCAGTCCATGGCTGACTGAAATGTTGACATACAGTGCATAATGACAAACTGCATGTACGATGGCGATCCCTTAAAATTGTAATGACACTGAAAAATTCCTGTCTCCTAGTGATGAGGGAGCTGTCGTGAGTTTGTAGCAAAATGCATTACTCATGTGTTTGTGGCGATGCTGGTGTAGACAAACCTACTGTGTTGTCAGTTGTATGAAATTCCACCACATACAATTATGCACAGTACATAATATTCAATACTGATAATAAATGACTATGTTACTTATTTATGTATTTACTATACTGTATGTTTTACCATTATTTTAGAGTGTATTCCTCCTACTTATATTTTAAAAAGGTAACTGTAAAATAGCCTCAGGCAGGTCCTTCAGGAGGTATTCCAGAAGGAGGCATTGTTATCACAGCAGATGACAGCTCCGTGGGTGTTATTGCCCCAGAAGACCTTCCAGTGGGACAGGATGCGGAGGAGGAAGACAGGGATGCTGATCCTGACCGAGTAGACCGAGGCTAATGTGTGTGTGTCTTAGTTTCTAACAAAAAAGTTTAAAAATGTTTTAAAAAGTAAAAAAAAAAAAAAAATTAAATATAAAAAAGTATATAGAATAAAGAGATAAAGAAAGAAAATATTTTTGTACAGCTGTATGATATTTTTGTTTTACAAACTAAGTGTTATTACAAAAGAATTTAAAAGGCTTTAAAAAATTAAAATCTTATAAAGTAAAAAAGTTACAGTAAGCTAAGGTTAATTTATCATTGAAGAAGGGAAATATGCTTTTATAAATTCAGTGTAGCCTACGTGTACCGTGTTTATAAAGTCCACAGCAAGACACAGCAATGTCCTAGGCCTTCGCATTCACTCACCACTCACTCCCTGACTCACCCAGAGCCACTTCCAGTCCTGCAAGCTCCACTCATGGTAAGTGCCTTACAGTGGTGTACCATTTTTTACCTCCCATGTCATATTTTTACCTTTTCTATGTCTAGATACACAAATATCATTGTGTTACAATTGCCCAGTGTTCAGCACACTACATGCTGTCCAGGTGTGTAGCCTAGCAGCATAGGCTACACCACATAGCCTGGTGTGAGTAGGCCCCACCACCTAGGTTTGTGTAAGTAGTATACTCTGTGATGTTCACAAACGACAAAATCACGTAATAATACATTTCTCAGGACATATCCCTGTTACTGAGTGACACCTGACTTATATTAACACATATATTCAGGGAAAGATTTATTTTAAGGAACTGGCTCATGCAATCATGGGGACTGGCAAGCCCAAAATCTGCTCAATGGGCTACCAGGGTGGGGACCCAGGGAGGAGCTGACATTGCAGCTTGGGTCTGAAGGCCATCTAAAGGCAGAATCCCTTCTCCCTGGGGGCCCTCAGTATTTTTTCTCTAACGGCCTTCAGTTGATTGAGTAAGGTCAACAACGCACATTATGGCAGGTCATCTTCTTTGCTCAAAGTCACCAATTTAGCTCTTAATCTCATCTAAAAAATACTTTCACAGGGACATTTAGAATAATATTTGACCAAACATCTGAGTACTGTTAGCCTAGCCAGTTAACTGGCAAAATCAATCATCACAGATGGCTAAAATGCTCTAGTGTGTTAATGTGCATTTTGAATGTTTTAAGAGAGAATGTTAAGTGTTTTCATAACTAATTTACCGAAAAGCCCTTTTTTCACATGGGAGTTGTGTGGTACAAACACACCTTGGTGACATTTTCCTTAATGTCACTGTTTTCAAACATGCTTTCCCGGGAAGGAGAGGGAGCTCTCAGGGGGGCGGCTGGGGTGAGATGTGGGTACCTACCCTTTGATTTTGTTAGAGCAGCCCCTCTTTGATCAGTTCCATAAAATGAGCACCTGCAGGAAATTTTCCTTGAAGGTGGGGCACAGCCACACCCAGCTGCAGAGAAGCCGCTCCGGCTTTTCCTGAGCGCAGCCCGAACCGGCCCAGTGAAAGTGCTCCTGCACTTGCTGCAGAGTCTGCACCTTATTTTCATTGCTTTCTGCACCACGCAAGGTCATACCCAATCCATTTCTTAGAATTTAGTTCCAGGGCAAAAATATTTGTCCTGAAATTGCTCACATCTCTTTTTAGCAAAAGGGGAGAATCCCGCCCGTCACGCGGACACTCCGCACTCACAGCACACGAGGCAACAGCTCCGACAGCGTATTTGCTTCCACCCGTTTTCTCTGGTTTTCCAAGTTTTGCTAGTTATCTTTTTAAAGTCTTATTATGCTCAGTTTTTCCTGTTTCAAAAACACCTGTTTGAAAGCTGGTGGGGGCAGGAGGTGGGGAGGGGAATAAGAAAATAAAGATAACAGTTTTGCTCGGTTGGAAGCACCACGTGTTATTCCTGTTCGAAGTGAAACTGGCACCTGTCAACTCAGGCTTTGCTCAGCCTAACACTGCAAATTATCAGAAGCACGGATGCCAAGGTGTCGCTGCCTTTCCTGTGCGGGCATATTTGGCTTGGAAAGTTGTGAGGGAGGCACAGGGAGCCGGGCAGACGCCCCCACTCTGCGAGCCCAGCACACACACTCTCCACCACTTAGATAGCAATCGCGGTATTTATATGGTTTTAAAACGACAATGATCCCTGGGAGAAGCATTTGCATTTTTAGCTGGAGCTTGTTTACTGGACATCTGCCTGAAACCCTAATTGCATTCAGAGCGGAGCATCAGAGCCAGGCTTGATGTTGCCCAGCTGATCACTGTAGACGCAGAAGGGCAGGGAAGGCATGGCAGGGACGGCTGCTCTCAGCCTAGCTGTGACCAGAAAGGAAACAATAGAAATGTCGGGGCAGAGGGACTCTGCCAAGTTAGTGTGTAAGCCAAGAAAGCGAAATCAGGACAGATATTAGAAAATAGACCCTACGCTTTTCAGAGAGAAGCAAGGTGGCTCTCTGCTCTCGGGGACCTGTTTGAGCTCAGATCTGCTCACAGATAAAAAGGCAAGAACAAGAGATGAGCATCAGAGAGTGGGAGAAAGCTATGGGGACCCGACTGAAGGACTGTCACCACACTGCACGTGGTGGATCTGACTCCAGCTCTCACTCTGACTCCGAGAGTCACCTAACAGCTATAAGCCTTGACAGGGGTGATGATAAATCTCAAAGGACTCCACGGGGCTGTTGGGAGAACTAAATGAGATCTCAAGCACTCCGCACAAGACACAGTGTACGTAAGCGCTCAGTAACAACCATTATTACTGAGAAATCTATCAGTAACTACCGGCAACAACGCACCTTTGACTCACAGGATATTTAAAGAAACAGATGAGTGAGAATGATTGATTGAGAATACTGACTATGCTTAAGAAAATGAGAGGATTAATTAATTCCTTCTTTGTTTTTATATCCCTAAAGAGAACCATGTTGGCATTGGAGAGGGTAGAACAGCACGCCTAAGAAGTCCTCGCGTGGGCATCCCTTGCCCTCTGCCCCACCCCACACTGGGCTGCATCCTGGCAGCATCCATGTCGACAGAGTCACCATAAATGGTCCATGTCAACACAAAGTCATTTTCTTTTGGCGACAAAATTCTTAGACTAATAAGTTACCAAGACACCCCAGGTGGACGTGCCGCGATTGATTTAAGAGCCCAAACAAACCGATCAGCGGGTGTTAGCTGGTACCTTCCTAGGCCATGGTCATGTGTCAACACTAATGACTCGAATGAAAATACAGGAGATACTCTCACCTCTTTGGTACCTGACAAAGTTGACAAGGACAAATGATACTTTGCAAAGTAGAGTCAGAATTAAAAACACCTTGAAGGTCATGATATTTGGCCAAAACTAGCAAGAAGTATTTTTGCAGAGTTCAATGCCAATCCTGTAATTATGCTTCAAAAATATTTACATATGTGCTAGTCGGAAAAAAGTAACCCATCAGCAAGGAGCGATTTATTAATATTTAGAACAGTTAATTTGTCAGAAATTGAAGTAACACCAGCATGAGATGGAAGAATAGAACAGCTGGAGTGCACAGGTCTGAGTTGGAACTCAGGCCCTCTCCCGGCCGTGACTTCCTCAGTCCCACACTCTTCTGTGAAAGGAGGGAAATGCCTTGCTCAGAGGGAGGAAAATGATACACAAATTCCCTCAGCACAGCATGTGGCTTTCATAAACCTGCAGGATGCTGGCTGAGTTAGCGTTAGGAGAGAAGCTGGAGTTTCACCTCATTTTAGTGAATGTTTAATGAGAACCTACCACATTTACTGAGAACACTCTGGTAGAACAGCAAAACAAGCAAGAGAAGAGCCCAGCCCTGAGAGCACAGGGAGTGAGCTGGGCTGGAGGATGGGTCTGTGACCGTCTCCAGGACCGTAGGCTCCCACCTGATGATGTGCTGTGGGGTCAGGGAGCAGCCCAGGGTGAGCTCCCTCCAGGATAGCGCTCCACACAGCAGGTGCGTCTTCCAGGGGACGCCTGGTCACGTTCCTCTGCATGCTCCCGGAAACCCCTAACTCCAGTCACACGTTAATTATTTTGCTCTTTGTGTGGGGAAAAAACCAGAATGAGCATATTTTGACCAGCGTCTACTCTAAAGTTTCACCCAAAACTATCTGTTGAAGCTTTTCAGAAGACAAACTTCAGTACTAAAACAAATGGAATGTGTAATGTTGCTAAATCCCTGTAAGGAATCTCTTTCTCTTTCCAAAAATTGTGCCAGGCAGCTCTGTTAATGAAGCAACAGACAGAACCAACACATGGGACCGGCCTCAGGTGAGATGGGAAAACTTGACCAGATTGACACAACAAAGTTCTTTCTGCTCCACGGAAATAAAAAATGTCTCAGAACACCTTTCCGTTTGAAGGAGCCTCCCAGAAGAGACCCCCTTCCTCCTTAAGCATCACGGGGAGGGGTGAGAAAATCTGCTGAAGACTGTGCAAAATATTTATCTTCCAAGCAAAACACCAAGTTCTTCCAAGTAATGCTCAATTATTTAGCACAAAAAGTGAAGGAGCAGAAGACAGACCCTTTGATTACTCTCTCAATCTATTGGATCCTGATTCTTTGACCTCATTCTTAATCTTAAAAGAATAAAAATTTGGCCCAACACAAAGAAGGAAGCCACTGTTGATTTGTATGAGTGCCTAAAACATAGAGTCCAGCATGACATGGGTGGGTACTCCACAGGCAGGGGGAGGGGCTCCAAGCCCAGGACAGAGGCTGAACTAGCTGGGCTCAGAGTCCGATAAGCCCCATGAGTCTGTGATTTGGGGTTTTGATGGGGTGATGCTGATCTTAAACGATGGAGCTCTGCAGGAGAGGAGCTTCCCATCGGTACCCATGGCAGGTTCTCTGCACCCAGGGAAGAGGGCAGGAAAGAAAAATGAGCTGGTACAGGCATATCAGCCTGCCTTTACCACCTCTTGCTCATTCCTGCCTCCGTTCCTTTCATGCCATGTCCCCAGCTCTGTGACTGTCAACCAGCTTGTCATCATTCCAAGCTATCCTCCAATTCACCTGCTCAGAGAGGCTTCCTGTGACCACTTGTCCCCATGACTGCATCATATGTGCTTCATAGAACTTTATGGTCTATTAACTTATGGTGTCCATCATTTGTTTACATATTTACTGTGTCATACCACATAGAACATTCACTGTCTTAGAGCAGGGATTTTGAGCCTCCACTTTGGAACCACACCTGACATGCAGGTCATCTTAAGTGAATAAACGAAGGAATGAATAAGTGAAGATTTTTGCAATTTTGCCAAGGCCTTAGCATCACTGAAAAATTATTCCCTGCAGGCCACTGACAGGTTGGAATGAGAATCTGATATGATGAATTTGCAAATTGACTAAAACTACAGTAGAGAAGCCCAGGAAGAAAGATTGTCAACCTGCCAATCTAGAAAAAGCTAGTGTCCAAAGTGTCGCCTCCTAACCGGACATGAATTCCTTCCCTAGGGTCTGTAGATACATGTGGCTTCATGGATATATTTAGCTATCAAAGCAAATAAGCTCATTAGTTATTAGAATAGTTAGAATGCAACTTTTTAAATATACCTCCCAGTTACCTAACTGTCCAGCTATTTAGGTGACCATAATGATTTATATTGACAAAAAGGCAGAGAAAGATACGCAAAGTGCAAAAAAGCACTGCAAAACCGTCTATACGGCAACATCACCTTATAACAACATGAGCCTCTCCAAGCCCAGCCCTCCCATGGTAGAACAGCAGTGACACCCGGTGGCTGCTTGCTTACTCCGGCAGTGACCATCAAAAACAGCTGAGCCCAAACCCAAAGAGTATCATAAGGACTTTGAATTTGAAAGGAACCCCAGAACTTAGCTAATCTGATCCTTCTCTTAAGGCATCCCTGGGTAGCTGCTCAAATTAATTCAGTCAGTGTTTCATTTCCCCGGTTACGAGTTGCGGTAACTAAAGATTTGAAAGCACAGCTACTCACCATTTCTTCATAAGGCAGCATAGAGGTGGATAGAAGGAATCTCACCACTGCCCCCTGCCCTTTTCCCCTCCATCTTCAGCCCCAACACCTCTGTGCATATGTGGTGTTTAATAAGCTGAATTTGACATTTTTTCTTGAAGATAGATGCTATGCATCTTACTATAAACAACTTGGTGATACTGCCATTTGAATTTGGGGTTCCTAACTTTTAATTTATTTCTTTCTTAATTTAAATTAATTCTTAAATAATCTACCTGTCAGGCTTGCAATTAGCCCCAATTAACCAGGAAAATTTAAATTAAACGTGTGTTGGGGCCCACCTGATTGTCAATTGGAATGTCCACTTGTGAGTCAGCTACATGCTTGTTACTTCTGGAAGGTTCTCTGTACAGAAAGGTAAAACCACCACTGGAAGTGCTGAAAAGATGTCTCAGAACTGCACACCTGCTAAGGATGCAGGTGATACCTGCTACGGCCAACATGATATTTACCTGTTCCCCCCTTCCATGGGTAAACCACATCCTCATGCCCCCCGTATGTGTTACTCACTCCTTGACTTGTTGCAATAGCCCTTTAATAGTTTTGTCATTTTTTTTTTTTCCAATTGCCTTCACCAGGGCTTCCCAACCACCTTGGAGATGAAGCGGCCTGTCATTCCTCATTTACTGTCGCAATAAGCCAATACTGTAGCATGCAGCCAGATTGTACACAGTTACTCTTCACTCAGAGTAAATCATAGTTGATTTTTAGATATTTTTAGCTGGTTTTGTTTTGGGTATTTTTTATAATTTTTCAACACCTACTGAACCAAGAAGAAACCCCATGCGATATTGTGCATCAAGGTTGGAAATCACTGGAATAAATATCATCACCAATTTTATCCTTTCTGACCCCAAATAAAGACATATTATAAAATTAAAGACCCCAAGAATTGGAATGAAACAATAACAGTCTTTGGTTCCTCGCTCATTCCCTCGTTTCCTTTCTGCCTCCAGTCATAGCACTGTTCAGCAACCCCTTCCCCAGCCACAGGAGAGAGGAAGAGGGGAAAGGGTAACAAAACACCATAGCTTCAGGCGATGGCTCCTTCCATGAGCACAACAGACAGACAAGAAGCAGCACCCACCTTGGAGTGGGAAACGTTTGCTTCCAAAATACTGTGGATAGTTTCATCTGAGATGTTAATGGAAGATCGAAGCTCCTCAGTCAACTTGGTGATGTTCTTCATCAAATCCTTTACTTTCACATCTGAAAAATAAGCAAAAAGAAGGAAGCTGTATAATAAATGTTTAGATTATTGCTGACTGTGAAAACAACATTTGATATTATAACCTGGCCAGAATAGTTTCCTTCATTCTACCCAGCCCATAATAGACACTAAATAAAGTCAAGTCTTACTCCTCTAGGGGTAACTGAGAGAAGGTAGACAACAAGTAAACCAAAATCCCAGGTTATGTGGTATTTTCTAGTCACTGGTTTACTCTCTAAAACCTGCATGTTTTAAGATTGACTTTAGAAAGAGATTTTTCTTAGGCAACAGTGACCAAGTGCCATAGGAAGCTCACTTCTCTACACGTATCTGCTTCTCTCACTTCTCCTTAACAAGAGGAATATCATTCAAGAATGTGCCTGGCATATCGATGCTGAAAGAAGCTTCATCAATCTATAGATTGGATAGTTGAAGAACAGAAACTCATAGACATCAACTGGCTTGTCCAGGAAGGCAGGGACAGAGCAAAACCCAGACCACAGAAGTTTCTCTTCCTTCCTCCACTGATTTTAGTACCCCAGGATTTTGGGACATTCCTTAAAAACCTCAAATAGATCAGACCAGCCAAGTTCTAAACGATTATCATGCACAGCATAACTTTTCATTTTTATGTTTTATTTTAGTAATATATTTATATGAGAAACTAAATTTAAATTTTAATCAAGCAAACTTGAAAGACCACATACTTACCCTTGGTGACTATGAAATTGCTAAGAAAAGTCATAATGGGATTCCCTGACGACCAAGAATCCTCGAGGCTTTTGGCCAACCTAAAATGGCAGAAAATCAAAGCTAAATTAGGCAAGATAAAACCATCAGAACAATGTTGGAATGAATAACACTGTCTCAGTTCCCAGGAGATGAGCTGGATAACAAGATCACATTTCCATAAAATTCCTCCAACAATTACACACGTCTCTCCTGACACCAACTGTACGTGAATATCCATTAATACCCACACCGTGGTGTTTCCTTCTCAGAGGCCCTGCCAAGCAAGGTGAATCAGGGGAATACGGATGCATAATAATGCAACTGTGAAAAGAATAGATAGAATAGATCATGAAACATATGAGAAATCAAGAAAGCCAGAGTCAGATGAACATAATTCTTTTTGTGAATAAGTCATCTATAGAATACACAGTCCCTGATTTCCTCTTCCTGGGATTTATACTTGGAGAATGAGCAAAGTTAATCAAATATGAAGGTAATTTGAAAAAATATTTGACTGTTCATACAGAACCTATTTAAGACCATATTGCAACCTTGGATCATGACATTTTGATCTAATATCTTGATCACCAATAAAGTTAGCCTTCTGGCTGATGCTGCTCTTACATTTTACCACTTAAAAATTTAATCATAGAAAACTTTGATTTTGTTTAGCATATATATATATTGAGACATATATTGATAGTATGTGGCACAAACTATTGTCTGAAATTCACAAAGAGTGCTAGACATCTCTTTATGAATGACAATACTGCGAAGGCAGGAGAGCATGTTAGCACATACGTGTGCATGCGCTGCTGCAGGGTTTCCAGCCCGGGCTGGCATGTGCAGTCCTGGTTGGTGGCATTTTCCAAGCTGCTTTTGAAGTTTTCCAAGGCGCTAGAGAGATTCCTGCTAAGACTTTCACAATTTTGTTGATTGAGTGAGGACCATATCGTTTCAATTTCCTGGAAAACATTGCAATGATATAGGTTAGAAACACACATACTTATTTGTATGAGCTTAAGTCTGGTTTCCAGATAAACATGTGCCCTCACTAAGTATTACATTCATTGTCAGTTTTTCCTGTAGCCTCAGGAAACATAGAGAATGAACAATCATGTCCAATTGCTTCTGTGCATTGCAGAGTAGTAGAAGGAGCCCTTGGCTGGAAAATAGGGGAGCTCAGCTCTTACTATTGGCTCTGCCATTAACCGACCAGGCAAAACAGCACGTTCTTCAATGGATGGGAGACAACAAGCAATGCCACTCTAGCTGGCCTGGCACTTAAATTCCTGGTTTTCAAGTAATAGAAACACACAAAAAAAAAAAAAAAAAAAACCAAATAACCCAATTTTTAAAATGGGCGAAGGACCTGATAGATATTTCTCCAAAGAAGACATAAAAATGGCAAACAGGTATATGAAAAGTGCTCCACATTACTAATCATCAGGGAAATGCAAATCAAAATCACAGTAAGATACTACCTCTCACCTGTTAGGATGGGTGTTATCAAAAGGACAAGAGATAAGTGTCGGTGAGGGTGTGAAGAGATGGGACCCCTTCTACACTGTGGCTGGACATGTAAATCGGTACAGCCATTATGGAAAACAGCATGGAGGTTCCTCGAAATATTAAAAATAGAGCTAGCATATGATCCAGCCATCCCATTTCTGGGTATAAATTCAAAGGAAATGAAATCATGTCTCAAAGAGTGATCTGCACTCTCATGTTCACTGAAGCACTATTCACAATAGCCAAGACACAAAATCAACGTAAGTGTCCATCACCAGATGAACGGATAAAGAAAATGTGTTGTATACGGTGGAATATTACTCAGCCACAAAAAGAAGGAAATCCTACCATTGGAAGCAACATGAGTGAACCTAGAAGACATGCTAAGTGAAACAAGTCAGTTACAGAAAATACTCCATGATCTCACTTATATAGAGAATTTTTTAAAAAAGTCAAACTCATAGAAATAGAGAGTAGAATGGTGGTTACCAGGGGTGAATGTGGGAATAGTGAGATGTTGGTCAAAGGGTGTAAAGCTGCAGTTATGCAGGTTAATAAACCTAGAGATACAACATACAGCTGAGGATTACAGTTACTAATACTGCATTATATACTGGAAATTAGCCAAGACAGAAGATTTTAGGTGCTCTTACCACACACCCCCCCACACACATACAAATAACTGAGATTATAGATATGCTAATTTGCTTGACTATAGTAACCATTTCACTATATATATGTTTATTAAAACATCATGTTGCACACCTTCCACATATACAATAAAAAGCATAAAAAATAAAAATGAAAAAAACATTAAAGAAGCTTTTCAAAAATAAAAGCCACAAAACCAATAATTGGAAAGAAATTATATGTGACTATATGTACATAAAGTGGATGAAACTCTGCCCTGAAGTTTGGCAGAGCAGCCTGGAAGGATCCTGTCCTCCCCACTGCATGTGGAGGGATCTCAGGGACTCCAAGGAACACAGGAAAAAACCCAGGGCTGGGCCCTGGCTCTCAGGCATCCCCAACCCTTCTCTGAGATTTCATGGATGCCTGATCAGCGTCTTTCTAGAAGCATTACCCAGTTTTACAAAAAACCAATAATTTGAGGAAAAAAAGAGAAAAACCTTTTTGAATAATATCTAGAAATTGATGAAAATGCAAAACATTTATCATATGTGGAATTAAGTGACAAATATAGGCAATTTAAAATGTAAAACAACCTGAGAAGCAGCACACATGTATTTACATCTGTGTCTACAGACACACATGTGAATCTATACACGTTCCCTGGACATAGCTATTCTACCATATATAATTTATTTCATATGATCATAATTTATTTGCTTCATCACATTTTATTTGTATCACCCAATTCTCACTGATATTGGAAGCCTATTTCTAGGTTATGCCAATTATGGGAAGGTGTCACGTGTAGGTCAACACTTAGATAATATTTCTGTCTAAATAAAACTTCTAAATGTTATTCTCAACACACTGTCAGTTTCTCTTGCAGAGGAAAATCATGAATCATTCAGGTGACCAGAGGGAGCTTTGCAGTGTATGTTCCAAGGAAAGGTGAAGGTGAGCACGGCCAAAGTGTTGAGATGGGGGCCCAGAGCTCTGGAGGCTGCCCCTTGCTGGGTCCCAGGCACAGCTGAGGGAGGCCTGGGGAGAGAGGGAGACATCTCAGGAACTGCAAGCGCCAAGCTGTGATCACAACTCCCAAACTCACACCACCGTGGGCCAAAATCTCTCCACAGCGGGGGAACTGAACCAGCGGATCCTTCCACAGCATGTGACTCCTTGCGTCTAATTCATCCGTTAATGTGTTCACTTTCCAAGATAACTTTCTCCAAGCCGTTTGGGTGTGAAACTAGAATGGAAATCCCTCAGGACTATCCATCCATTCGTTCAAAAAAGACTTACTGAGCGCCTCCCAAGCGCCAGGCAGGTGCGGTGCTGGCCTGGCGGAGATGAAATCCTCGCCTCTGGGAGGTGCACATCCCAGCGCAGGAACAGCCAAGAGCTGCTGTGGGGACAAACTGCTCAGCACGTCACAACGTGGTGTGAAGGATAAGGCTGCGGGCAGGGCTTACAACTTTCTTTAGCACCCTCCGGGAGTCCTGATACGGAAAGGGGAGCAGCCCTGCAAATGCCCTGAGGGGGCTGGAAGGAGCCAGCGAGGTGGAGAACAGTGCACAGGGAAGGACATGTGGAAGGTGACCGCCACCCAGACGGCAGGACCTTACAACGGCCTCCTTTAGGACTTTGGCACTAATTCTGAATGAGGTTGCAAGACACTGGGTGGCTCTCAGCAGAGAATTGACATAACCTGATGCTGCTTTGGAAGGGTCGCTGTGGCTCCGGAGTTGAGGACAGAGCCAAGGAGAGGAAGAGGAGAGAGTTGGGAGGTTGTTGCACCATCCAGGTGAAATGCGGTTCAGGCGGAAGAACATGGCCGGATTCTGGAAACATTTGGAAGGTAGAACAAACAGAGTTTGCTAACAGAAAAAAAACAAAAAAGGGTTCACAAGCATGCCAAGGTCATTGCCCTGAGCATCTGAGGAAAAGAACACCAGGGGCAGGAAAAATTGGATGGGAAGGTCCAGAGTCTATTTTCAGATGGGTGGAGTTGAGAGGCCTGTCTGACATCTAAGGGGAGAAGCCGAGGAGATGACAGAGCATTCGGGCCTGGAGTTCAGGGGAGGTCTTGGCCAGAGAAGGAAATTTGGAAATTGTCAGGAAGTAAATGGAATTTTTAGGTTGTAAGTGAATCTGCATGAGATTTCCCGACATGTGAGCCTAGACAGAGAAGAGAAGAGAAGAGATCTGGAGACCGAGCCTACACCATCCATCACATAGAGGAACCAGTCGTGGAGGTGGAGGTGGTCAGCCAAGGATGCAGGAGCCCAGGGTCCAGGGAGCCCAGTGCAGAAAGGCTGGGGAGGGGCGAGTCCGTGTCAAGGCCATGCTCAGACCAAGGGAAGGGAGGAGTGAGACTCGGCCATGTGGGGGTCATAGGGCTTTGGCAGGAGCAGCCTGGTGGAGTGGTGTCTGCGGCCTGCAGGGGCCTAACAGGAATGGTCAATTCAGGCCTGTCTCTTCGTTTAACCTCTTGGCAGGACTCAAGGACACAGAGATTCCTCTCCCTTCTCCACTGAGGTTTCCACTGCTGGCTCTGTCCTTGGAGACATGGACAGCTTCCAGCTTCCAGCTTCCTCTCACTCACTGCCCCTAAAGACAGGTGCACAGACCCTGTTCATCATCTGAACATAACCACAGGAAAGCAGAAAGGGAACGTATGGCAGCAAACTCCTGCAACGCATCTGCAAGGCCGAGAGACATCCGGGGCCAGTCCCAGTCTCCAATCTGTGTGTCCATTTCTAGCAACATGCATAGATGCCCCTGCAGCTTTCACACTCTGCTCTTTCTCCTAAATGTGGATATTTCTGAACTTTCCCCAGTTTTCTCACCCAAACATTTCACAGGCCCAATATTCTCCTTCCTCCTTAGAGGTCCCTCTTCAAAGCACACCGGTGCACAGATACAATGAGGTCAGAACAATAGGTATAGATGAGTGTCCCCTGGGGGCCACTTTCTTCTGAGAAAATAGATTGAATTAAATCCACAGCACAGGGACTCTGCTGTGCGTGGAGCGTCCCCTCATAGAAAGAAGCTCTAGCTCATAATTTGTTACTATATGCAAATTAAATTTTAGCCAATGCATTTCTAATATTCTTGCTATAGATGTCATTCTTAAATTTAACAAAATAATAATTTTGACATAGAGAGGATTATAAAGTAGGAGGCGCACATTCCACCCAGTAGCAAGGACTAATGGAACAAAAGTTCCAACTGTCTTCAGCACAGGTGTAGCAGGCTGTAAGGAAAGAAGAAGTGTCTAGCACAAAGACTGAGCTTGACATTCATTAAATGATACTTTCGGGATTCAGTAAGACCACCATATGGAAAAGACAGCATACATCAGTCTCTCCTTCTCTGGTTAGATCAGGCCCGTAATTGTCCAGGAACTAGCAGGTGAGCGTACACAGATGGTCCTAAAGGTTTAGATTTAGGAAGGTGACAGGAAGCCCACATTCAGCCTTGAGTTCCAGCCACATTCTCTGATTCAGCTTACCCCAGAAGTGTTGAGACTCACTGTGCACTTGCTTTCATTTTTGACATTTAATTCTGATTCCTATTTAGCTCCTTATTGCTACTTTCTACTGTTTGGAACAAAACGTGTAAAAGGGCACAGAGAGTTAAACCCCCAAACTTTCATCACATCAGTCAGTTGGGACTTTCAATTCCAGTTGGCATTCCGCGTTAGTATGGAGAAAACTATATGTTAGAATATTTATTTAGATATTGAAAAACTAAAAATGGCTTTGTGTCCTTTGCCTACCTCTCTTGGACACTCACATCCCACAGCCTGGAAAAGATTCATATTTCTGAAAGTCTCCCACACCGAAAGCCCTTGAACCACAAACGCATCCTGGAAGCTTGGCATCCTCAGATAGGAAATGTTCTATTTTTGTCATTAAAGACAGGAACTTCTGTTCTTTAGCAAAATGAACCTAATTGTTACTGTCCAGAATTGTTGATGATCATATAACTATCTGAACTGTGACTATAGTATGGAATCAGTTTTAAAAGCTGAAGTCTCTTGCCTGTTTTATTAACACAATCTTCACTCAGCACTCAAAAATTTTCTGTGAGTTTGTTTGTTTTTGTTTTTTCTGTATCCACAGTTAATACCTGACAAAGATACATGCAACCTGGAAATAAGAAACTGATGATCTAAATAAGTCAGTGTAAACATGACAAATGACTGGCGTCTGCTCAGGCTTCCTGTCCACACGCACCGCTCCCCCCACGGCCCCAGCACGGCAGCTAGCGATTAGCCGCTCTCACTCCTTCCCCACATTTCCCCAGAGAGGAGGCCTCCACACTCGCACCGCGCCATGGGAGTTTGGCATGGCCATCTCTGATCTCTCTAGGCATCATCCATCTCTCTGCTTTCTGTGATAATCCAACATTCACGGGACATACGACGAGGCAGAGTTGCTGGACCGCAAAAGCAATAAACAACATTCAGAACTGGATCTAGAAGAAAGACAAGCCTTCAATCCACTGTTGGGAAAACATTGCCATTGCCCAAGCTTCTTACACAGGTCAGGCCTGCCTGGGGGCCCAGTGGTCTTTAATTCCAAAGTAAGGGGGTAGGTCCCAGAGAAAAGTCACGTCCTCCCAGCCAGCTTTGTGTGGAGACCCTGCATGGGAGCTCAGGGGGCACTTGTCCAAATTAACACAAAAGAAACTGCTATGCCAGTTCCCATTCAGCATCAGTTCTTGGTACTTGCCAGTGTGTTCGATTAGTTAGAGCCAGGGATGGGCTGATAAACACTTAAAAATAACTCTCCAGGAAAAACAAAGATATTATTTCTAGCATTTGCCAATTTCCATGGTGTAAATGCTCCCACATGGCCTAGTTCAAGCTACCAACATGATACTAGTGAACATAGAGTTGGGAAGAACTACGCAGTAGCGCATAGCTATTAATATATAGTATTTCCTTCACAGAGATTCAACAGAGGCAAATGATCTCAGGACGATAGAAAACAGTAGAACATACTAAAACGATTAGGAAGTGATAAGTCTTGAGTATTTATTACTTTGTTTTTAACATAATTTATTTCATCACAAATTCATATGATATGATTTTTAATTATGTCTGTGTTTAACAACCAGCTTGCAAAATTCCTGAAAAATCAACAATCAGCTCTGATTCCTTGGTGCCAGTCAACCCCAGCACGCCACTGAGAACCCGAGAGGTGGGGAGGGTGAGCAATCCCTCTGCAAGGCTGACTTCCAGCAGAACTGTGCACATACAGCCGCCGTGGCTGGAAGCTCCAGGCAGCAAGCTTGGGATGACTTGACTGCCTGGCAAGGGCCAGCGGCAATGAACGTGAAATTTTCTGAAATTTAGAAGACAACAAACCTGATAGTGGTCGTGCACCAAAGTGACCGCTTGTATAGCAGAGGAGATGAGATGGCTTATCCCACCTTGCTTGCAACTCAGAGTGGCACACAAAATGTCCTTGATCAAGGAAGGGTTTTCTGCCAGAAGAAACACAGAAGTCATTAGTAAACAGTCCTCTCCTGAACAAGCCACTCTCACAAAATCACTTTTTAAAGATTCAAAATGATAAAATTTTCTAAACATTTCTTAAATCATCAAGATGAACATGCAGATGATGAGGGCAAAGCTGAGCCTTTTGAGTTGCAAATGTAATTGAATACTTTGTTTTGGGGGGGCCTAACTGATTGCATAGAAATGAACATCCTCTGCTCCCCCAGACTGGCCCTCTTCCTGCATCCCCACAGGCAGGCTACCACTCACCCCACCGCCAGGGCAGTCTCGGTTTCATGAACAGTGCCCTCCGTCGTTCTCAAAGGGCCCCAGAGTGAAGGATGAATTACACGCACGTCTATTTGTGATCGTCCCCGTCCTCCAGGCCTCACAAGGCACCCCCTGGAAGCATCCCGACCCTCCTCCCCCCGTGCACTGCTCCTCGCAGCCAACCAATCTCCCCATCGGATCAGCCAATTATCCCACCAGCTCATGATCTGCGATTCACGCCTTTGTCCTGCACCCACCAGGTCACGCCCAGGAGAGCGCCAGGCTCCTAACAGGGCCCACTCCCATCTCACCTCTCCCATCCCCTTCCACGCTGAGCCACAGGGCTCTTCCTCCAAGGAGATCCCCTGGTGATAGGAAACTGCCCGAAGGCTCCTCGTTGCATCCAAGGCCTTTCCGCAGCCACAGGCCCCCTCCACCCCCTCGGCCCCCACGCCCTGTGTTCCTGCTGTCCGCTCAAGGCACCACTGCTTCCCTCCCGAACCCACGACCTTTCAGAGCTCTGCCTTAGGACACCCCCTCTCCCCAGCCTGTCCAGGGCCCCTCCCACTCCCCGGCTATGCCAATGCCTCTGCGCTCCCCTCCCTGCAGGGTCGCCCACCCCACGATCGACCCGCCCGCACAGGACCCTGCGAGGCTCTTCTCACCTCCGCCTTCCTGTCACTGTGGCACCTGGCAGGTGGCTTTGTACCTTCTAGATGCTTGCTCATGACAGAAAATGAAATGCCTTTTATGAAGAATACACTTTTCTTTATTTTTTCAATGAAAGAAAAAATTGAATCCTGACTTTTAAATTATTACATTGTTTCTCAGAAGTAATTTTAAAAAACAGTTTGGGCATATTACAAAGTGAAAAAAGCCCATCCAAAAAGGCTACACATCGTACAATTTCAACTCTATGACATTCTGGAAAAGGTAAAACTGCGGACACAGTAAACAAATCAGCGGTTGCCGGGGCGGGGGAGGGAGGTATGGGTAGGCAGAGCAGGGCTGTGAGGGCCGAAACCGTCCTGCGAGATGCTACAAGCAGATACGTGTCACACATTCGTCCACACCCTGGAACGTGCAGCACCCACAGCAAACCCTAATGTGAACTGCGGTCGGCCGTGGGTGGTAATGAGGTGTCCATTGTAATGAATGCTCTACGCATTCATCTTCGAGCATAAAGGGACCCTCTGCTTTGGAGAAGACATAATAACGAGTTTAGGAATTACATTGTTCAAAATCAAAGAACAAAGAATGTAACATGAAAAAGCTGTCGCAACGGTGTGGCCGTAGGTAAGTCATGGACTGTGTCGACCCTTTATTCCCTTAACGTAAAACGATGACATGGACTAGACAGTGGCCACACATGGCATTTCTACAAGGTCAGATCAGGGGCGATGTGGTCATGGGAAGCCGTGCTGAGCTGTCAAACCACCCGGCCTCCATCTGCCCTGCTTCTGACGTTGTCTTGCTGCTGGCCTTGAGGACACTTGACAAGTGTCCTGACTCTGGTAAGATCCTGTTTTGAGGCTCCTCCCACTCTCCCGAGTCCTCTCTTTCCCCAGCTCACACTGCTTCTTCACATCCCTGGCTCCAGCCCTTCCTACCTGCTCTGGTCCCTCTTCTTGGCTCTGGGGACTCATTCAGAGACCTCGCCTTGCCTTTCCAGATCTGCCAGCTCACCCTGGACCCCTCCACTCTGCTCCCTCCAGCGCCACGGATCAACAGGGGCTCTGACTTTACTCTAAAACCCTGAGCTACTCACTCACCCTCTCTGGGCCCCAATTTGCCAGACCGTGAAACTAGAAGATTAAAGTAGATGCCCACTGAGGTGGGCCTACTGGGCTCTCGTGCAATTGCTGTTGTCATACATAAAGCATTAGATGAGGAGGAGGAATACGACAACATCCCTCATGGAGATACCAGCGTCAGCTCTGTGATGTGGCAAATAACTACTTGGTTTTCAATAATGATAATAATATTACAACAGATCTGGCTGCTATTCCTTTTGTGTGACAGAAGAGGAGCCACCTGCCCATTTTGGTCCATTTCAGCTCAAATCTTCGTGGGGTGGACCTTTAAGCTTTTCTGGATCTGTCACTACTCTGCTAGTCTATAGGATGCAGTGACAGTTCACTAAGGACAGTGGGTGGCAGTTCAAATATTAGTCATGCTTGAGATTTTTGAAATAAAACATAAAAATTAAAAATTAATTTTTTGTTACTAATGTGATTTCAAGTATGCTATATTAATTTAGCAGCTGCAATACAGAATGGCAAAATAAATATAAATTCAGGCATTAATGAATGTTTAATTCATTTAAAATCCATTACATTAGCTGACTGTGAAATGTCAAAATAATTAAGTCTTCAAACGTGGCTGAATTTGACATGCCAGAAAAGCATCTGAGAACCAGAAAGAGGTTTGAATTTTACCAGAGCATGATTCCTTGTGCTGAAATCATTTATCAACCACGCTAAGGTGTACTTAGATACCTAATGCTTTATTACTTTATATTCAACAATATCGTCAATGTTCACAACATCTAATTGGACATAGAGATTGTCTTAAAAAAAAAAAAAAAAACCCTCCACAAAACCCCTCCGTGGCAGTTGGGGGTGTCGCATCAAGGCTGTCTTCCCTTCTCCAGCCGTTCCTCACTCCTTTTTTGTGTATCTTAGGCCAAACAATTAATCGATTAATTCTTGGGTTCAAAGAAACGTTTGTATTACAAAAAGGAGGTGAGTGAGTAGATTAGAACTGACCCTGTAACAGACAGTCCCTGCAGTACCAGTTTTCACTGGGAAACCAGCTCTTTGTAAGCCGAGACGTGATTTTCGCAATGGTGTGCAGGGAGACGCATCTTCCACTTGCACCGTGACCAGGGAGGGAAACTAGCATGTATGAGGCACCCGAGACAGGCAGGGGCCCCGGAGGTGACTTGTGTTTGTGACCTCATTTTATTTAATCCCTTCAACTGCACTTTGAAATTGGCGTCACCCCATTCTTTGTTCAAGACTCACAGAGACTGGGTCACTGCCCTGTGTCACTCAGCTAGTGTGAAGAGACAGACTTGGCTGGTTTGATCTAAAACACCTGCTCCTTCCATTACATCATTTCTTGTAAGAGTCAAGTTTGATTCTGCACCTGAAGACATGTGAGGACATTGAAGTCATATCAGACATGATCTTGCATAATCGCATAATCACCAGGGGGCCATCACGTTACTGAGGAAGTGGCCTTGGAGACCAGGAGGTCCAGCACATTGGCCAGAGCCCCATGAGTGGTTGTGCGGATTAACCCGAGCAGTGACAAGTGGCCAGCCTAGTGCCGGCACTCACACACCGATCCATCTAATCCTTCAACATGTATTGACTGAATGCCCACCACGTCCATCAGGGTGTTTCCTAGACCCTGGGGGTATAACAGTGGACAGAGCAGCCACACATCCTCACCTCTCAGGTCTCACCTGGAAAGTTCCACCCAGAGCTGCACCCCCAAAGTCTCCTCCTCTCCTCCACCCCTCACTGTCGCCTGCATCACCTTACTTTAGCTTCTTCCTAGCACTTACCAGTACCAGAATTTACCTTATTTGTTTGAGTTTGTTTTGAAAAAAGGATTTGACATGCTGGTTCTGCCCAAGGCTCACTTGTACTACTCGTGAGTGCTGGTCTGTACTCCTGATGCCCAGTCTCTGCAGCCCACACCCTGGGGCCAGTGACTTTTCCTCTTCAGTGGTGGACTTTGGGCGTGCGTCCACTGTGAGCCTCCCGGGGAGGCCAGACTCTTCTCTCTACAACATCCTCCCCAGCCCCGTGTAGTTGGTTCAATAGTATAAAACAGGCCCAGAGCACACAGATGGTCCATCCACTACCTCTTTACAGCAGAACATTGCCATGTGGACAGATTGCACACTTAGGAATTCCAGTGAACCAAGACATTAAGTGTAGACGGGCTCCTGGCATTTATTTGTGTATTCATTCAACAAACATCCATCCATGTCTCTTATGTTCTAATCTCCATATGCTGGGTTTATCATGATTAATAGATAGGCACAGTCTTCATGGCTGCGGAAGAGACACTCATTCATAATGAGAACAGCACACGGTGGTAAGAGCCAAACACGGAGGTCAGACCACCATGGGGAGAGCCCAGACAGGACCACCTGACCCCAGAGAGGCCACCATAGGGGCATCCCTGGGTCAGGGTTATCTGAAAAGCTTTCTTGAGGAAATAACACCTAATCTAAGAATTATAATACAATAATGTAATAGAAATCTAAATAATAATAACAATGTAGCAATAAGTCAGGGGAAGGTAGGAGAGTGAGCATATGGTATCAGATGAGCTGGAGGGACGAGGAGTCCAGGGCCAGCCATGCAGAGCTCCACGCAGGGATAAGGAGCTAAGGTGCACCCAAGCGACCTCTCCCTTCCCTCATTTTGTCTTGGTTTGATCAAATCCACCCACAGCTTCCCCATTCCTGCCCCGCCTCTCCTCTTCTGGGCTCAGATTCATCTCTCCAGCATCCACTGCCCTCTGCCAACCCAGAACCCACGGCCCTGCAGTCCACTGAGAGGGCTCACCCCTGGGAAGGCACAGACGTGTGCACATGGGAATTACTTAAATAGCAGCAGCCCATTCCACAGACTCACATGTGTTTAAAACCTGATACTTACATATTAGAGAAAGTAACAAAATAATCGAGTTACCCTATAAGGCAGCTCGTGGTTCTCTCCTTCAGCAGTGGCATTAAACAGAGAATGCACTGAAACGTGCAGTAATGGATTGGGTAAGTATTACCTTAGTAGACGAATTAATTCACTTACAATAGAGTCACTCACCACGGCTGGACATTGCACTGAGTATTATGGAGACACATAATTTAATAAGAGACTGATCCTACTTCCAGTGACCTTATAGACTACTGCAAAAAAATGAGGTACCAAAAACTAAAATATGAGTGGTAAGTGCCAGAGTTGTAGGGAACTCAGGTTAACTGCACAGACCACTCAGCACACATCGTGGGAATGCACCCTCCGTGCCAGGTGCTGGGTGCACCCAGGGGATTATGACATGGTTGCTGTCTTCAAGAAATGTGGACTCCAGTGGTGGTGGGGGTAGGGGGAGAGATGTATGAGAAGAAAATACAGTATTGCATTTGCTCAGTCTCCTTGAGGTCCTTTCCAGCAAAGGAGATGGGGGCAGTCCTCTGGATGAGATGCCCCCAGCTCTGGACCACAGAGCACAGCTGGAGCTTGGATCAAGGAGACAGAGTAAGCACATTCCATGAGCAAAGACATGGACCCCAGAAAGCCCAGCACAGCAGCAGGAAGGGGCTGTGCAGTTTGGCTGCAGCAGAGTCCCAGTGATGGGAATGAAGCTGGAGAGGGTGGCCCAGACCCCTCAGGGACTTGTAGCCCGGCTAAGTAGGCTGTGCTTTGCTCTAAAAGCAATCATCTACCAGTCTCTTTGACAGCCACGCTCTGAAAATTGGCACAGGGAAATTACCAAGCACTTCTTATATAAGCAGCTCACCTGCAAAGATGATGAGCACACGCAAAACCATCATCTTCACTTTCTGCAGCATCTCGATGGCTGCTGGAGGCTTCACAGGATGCCAGGAAATTTGACACATCTCAACAACACTTAGGAAAAAAAAAATGAACAATGGCATCAAAGGGTAAAAATCTGCAATCCATGTGCATCTGTACTGTGTAGAAGGCTAAGTCGTAACACACGCGTAAGAACCATCCTCCATGCACAACCATATTTATTTCCCAGGGACGTAAGAAAAACATGGATAACACAATTTAGACCTTTAGAAAACCTTAGGTCTCCTACTTTAGTTCAAAGCATTGATTTAGTTGCCAATAAACCTGACGTTTGCTTTCTCTTCTTGCAATCTCTTGAGGTGCAAAGGAAAATGATTAAAGGGTGTCAAAACACAATGGTATATAGAGCTATGGTGCAAATTTCCTCTGCAGAGAACTGAAAAAATTGAGATAAAAGCTCAGATTGGCAGCAAACGGGGGTTGCCAGGACCACTTCCAATACAAAAGAAAATTTAGAGCAGAACACTAAAGTCAAACAGAGTGTAGTCTGGGGTCAGAGGCACTGAGGAGATGAGGCGAGAAGCTCTGGAAGCTAGCAGTCAAATTTCAAGGTAGTGATGGTTCTTTGTGCCAATGGACACCTATTTTCTTAACTAAGAGCATCCTTCCAAGCTTTAAAGGCAATATATTTAACCAAAGTGTTTGTATCCCTGTAATATTCTGAAATAAAAACCAATAATAATTGGATTCAAGGTGCAGCTCTATAGCAACAGAACTAGCAGGAACTAGGTCAGCTTGTCTGGCAAGTGATGAGGATTGAGATGGTACCTCCAATCTCCACGTGGAACTGAGGGAAAGGCAGGGGCAGGCAGGGAACATGGACCAAACAGTATTGTGGCATACAGAACAGATGGGTGGGGCATCTCTGGGACTTTGCACACCAAGGAGCATAAGACCTCCAACCTGAGACAACAGACTTCTTGCTGAGCATGACGCTAATAGGACTGGAGCTCTTAAGAACGGGTCCCATTGACCTCACATTCAAGGCTGAAAAGCTCAGAGGTGGGTCAATCATGTGGAATTGGGCTGAATCCAAAAAGGGCAGGAGGCATCAGCTGCTGCGACCTGTCCTGTGCTTAGCGACCCCTGTAAGCACAATTTTCTGGGCGAAGTGAGCAGCTTCACATTCTTGCCCACGTGTCGAATAGCAGGACCCTCGGCAGCCAGAGGATGTAGGTAGAAAAACTGTGTATGTACCTAGTCTTAGGACAAGTGAACAGAATAGGGGCTTTTACTTTTGAAAATAAAATAATTATTTTTGAAATATTCTGAACAAGCTAAAATCATATTTGAGTGCCAAGTAACGAATCAAACAGTGAAAAGACCAGACTTGAGTCACTCTGCCTTGAAGCCAACTTCGGGGTGTAACAAAAGCTGAAGCTGAAAAGAACTACTTACGCTGGCTCAGCGTAACCCCTGCACGGTTCTATTTTATATGGTCACTGCAGCAGGGAAAAAAATGAAGCGAAGTAGGTGTTTTATTACCTTTGGTCTGTCAGTGGGATTTTTTGCCAGTATTTAGTTAATACAAATAATCCCCTCAGGTATTTTCTGAAACATGATAATGGTTTGAAGCTATAAAGAAAATCAATCATCTCTTCCTTGGTCTTGTCTTCTTTTTCTGACATGACATTCTTTCCAGTGGTTGCATAAATAAAAATCTCAAAAACTGGCTGAAACAAAGTTCTCATGGAATTTATCCACTGAGAGTTGTTTGGCAGAAGCCCTTTCCTCCAGAGAACTAGTCTACTTAAAACAATCTGGATTGCTTTTTCAAGTTGATGATGAGCTATATTCTGAATCAAAGATGTGTCAAAAAATAAAACTTTACTCAAATCACCTCCATAGCCACTTTTAATTCCACTGGAGGCCTCTACAACTGTTTCTATCATTTTCAAAAGATTATTTGGATGCTGAGTAAATGTCAACAGATTAAAAACTTCCCAATTATTCTTCTTTAAGCCATTCCAAAGAGGTTCTAAGATGAGATCAATCACCTTTTTTCAAGTAAGACCCTATTTCTGTGCTGTTTCGTGATAACATTTTATCCAAAAAAAAAGGATCACTTCATGAATTATTTCCCATCTTATATCTTGAGGGCAACTATTTCTGGAAGTTGGATTGGAATGTAAGAAGTCCATTTGATTGGCGATGTTATTTATAGGAACTAAGCAATCTAGAATTTCTTCCCATAAGTTGACATAATCCATAGAAAATATATAGGACCCATTATTAAATGCTACCACAAGATGTTCCACATTTCCCAAATTGATTTTCATGGATGTTAAAAATTCAGCAATTTCTTACAAAATATCAGAAAAGTCCTTAGATTGGTTCACATATGAGAGTATGTTAGATGACATATTGAAAACATCAGAGTCCTCTGATATATAAGGTTTGACTCCAATCCTTCCAAAGGCCAAGTCAAGAAATGGTGTCAACAAAGCATTTATCTTTTCAAATACCAAATCATCTACTTCTTTCCAAGTAACTATTAATATTGCCTTCACAAGGGGTTGAACACTTTGATGCATGATGGAATAGAGAGTATCAAAGAATTTCATAGCATCCTTGGTGTTGGAGATGAAATCAGTTTTAAAAATTATGGCGATCTTCTCCGAAACTTTCTTGGTCAGCTTAAGAAGTTTCACAGTGGAGTCCACTGATGTGGCAAGATCCCTCAGGTCAGCACTGTCATTCAACAGCATGACCGGAGTCCTAGACATTTCTAAAAGGGGTTCCAGGGCATGACTTTCTTCACCAGCTCTTGAAATAACACCGGGTATTCTTTTAGTAACTTCTAACATTGCTCTGTTTCTTAGAGGAAATGAATTAATTATAAAGAAAAACAAATCAGATCAGCAAGCATAACTTTTTGGGGTATAGGATACAAGGTATGGAAGTCCTTATTAGGAGAGTTGAAAGGAGTAGCCACAAGGTTTGCCACCTCTGTGGAACATTCGCTCACAAGATGAAGAGCTGACCTAACGTCTTGATTGAGTTCGAAGAGGTCCTCAGAACTATTCTCATGAAAAAGCAACTAAAACACCACTGTGAAAAAGTCCAAATTATTTTCAGCCTTATTTTTCATGGAGGTTTCCCTTGGAAGGGTGTTAACTAAATCCTGCATGAACTCTAGTCCCTGATGACTATCAAAATTCTCCATTGTCCGATACAAATAAGCTTTTGATTATATAATATACAGTCTCCTTTAAACTTGAGAAAATGCTCTTCAATCTGTTTTCTTTCATCAAGGTAAGAAATTGATCCAGTTTCAGAGTTTCTAGAATTTTATCTTTTGGAACAAAACTGTAAACATACATATAATTTTTAATTTCATGTTTAATGCATTAGCAATGGAAAGGTTAAAATATATTGTGATTTTTATAACTTTATTTGTTTTATAATAGCATCAAAAGATAATACTGAAAGATGACATACTAAAATAATTTCAGATGAAACTTAATATTTTGTTACCAAATAATGACAAGAGTGAAGGAATTTCATGAACAATTCTATTACAACTTCTTGAATCTAGCAACTTAAAAAGCCACATACTTTTGCTTTTAGAAAAGAGGGTGAAATGACTACAAAGTGACTCTCAATGTAAGAGGTAAATCTCTGCAAAAGTGGTAAGCATATTTATATTTTTCTGGATTTTAAAATACTAGTGAATCACTTAGACACTGTGATGGCTTTGTGATTTGTCAACTTGGCTAGACTGAAATATAGCCCCAGAATGCCCTTTCTTGTATGTTTCTGGTCTGTGTGGGCTACAAGGGAGATTCCCCCAGGAGAGTTGGAGGACAGATGAGAGTTAGTGGCCATTTTGTAGCATAAATACACCTTTTCTAGGCTATTCAATCAAACACTAATCTATGTGCTGCTGTGAAGAGATTTTGCAGACCTGGTTAAAGTCTAGCATCAGTTAACTTTAAGTTAATGAGAAGTGTTATTGTCCTAGGTGGGCATGGCATAATTAGATGGAAGGCTTTAAAAGAGGGCTTGGGACCTCCCTGATACAGAGACTCCAAACAATTGCTGGGTTCCTTCTCCCCCTGGGTCTTCCTCCTTGACCACCATCTGTGGACGACAGCTTCAGCTCATGCCCATGGCGTCCCTGCCAGCTGTGATCCCTTCCTGACAGCCCACCCTACTGATTCAGACACGCTTATCCAGCCCCCCTATCTGTGTAAGCCAACTCTTGGGATTAAGTCCTTGTTATGGTTGTGGTTCCATGGTTGAGCCCTGATTGAAACAGACATCACAGAATAATTTGAAATTTCCCTCCAGCCTTTTCACCAGAAACCTTCAAAAGAGATTTTTAGAAATATATGAATATCCTGGCCTACAGAGGATACCAAAATATATATATGTGCATATATATATATATATATGAATAAAGACAATGTGACTATCAATTTTAATGTTTCCAAATGCAAACATCACAGTAGATTAATTGGAATGAGAATATTTAAACCCCTCATTTGTGATTAAACGGTTAATACAGCAATTCGAATTATGACCATGCTATATATGCATATATATCTATAAAAATTAATTTTTCAGATCCTTATAAAGTGGAATTCATCATAGTTTTCATAATCAAAAAATTTAAAAGTAATAATAGGTGATAAATCATCCTGGACTAGGTTTATATGTTTACTATTGTAGTTAGATGATAGTAATCAAAATTACTTACCTTGACATTTTGATAAAATATTCATTCATTTGATAAAAATTCACTTCAAAGATTATTCAAAGGTGTTAGATACAAGTGCTGCTATTGACATGTCTATACTCCAGAAAATAAAGTGATTTGAGATATATCACAACTGCATATACTACATAAAGCAAAAGTGGACTCACCTTATCTCTGCAAGAATGTCTTTGTGGAAATCTTTTAGCAGAAGAGATATTTTGTTCTTGGAATTTTCCTTTAGTAAAAGGGAGAAGAATGTTTTCAAAAGCTGTTCTATGAAATCCACCATGCTTCTTGGAGGGAGAACTATTTTCCCACCAGCTTCTGACTGTATATGGTCCAAGGCAAGGTTAATGAAATTCACTATTTGAAGGTCAGGATCACTTAAATTTGTAGCTGCTTCTTGAGAACTCCCAGCGAAGTTATTGATTGAATTAGTTAGAAGGCTTTCAAAAAGCAACTGAACAACTGAGAAATTAGTTAGCTGTTCTTGATTTAGCAGATCAGTAAGAAAGGCAACATCAAAATTACCTTCTCTAGAAATGTTTTTTAGGGAGCTGAAAAAGGTAATAATATCTTTAGTCCACAAAGCTATGTCGTCAGTTGAACTCTTATTAGCCATAAGAATAAATAATGTTTGTATTATTCTGGAGTAATCTTCATTTGCATATTCATGAAGCCAGTTTTTTGTGACTAATAGAAAATCTTCAATTATTTCTAATGTTTTTATTGATGATGAATCCAAGATTTTCAGAAAATGGGCAAGTTGCAAAGTTATGTTTTGAAGAGCCACCGAATTTATACTTTGGATTTCTTTGTTCATTTCAGAGAACAGGTGCCTGACACTGAAGTCATGGGTTAAGTCTTTCGGGTGTTTCACAGTTTGTTCAAACTCAAGCCTCAGTTCTTCAAAGTTGTAAATTGCTTCACTTTTTTCAATAAAACTTGATAATGCTTCTGAACTCCTACCTGTAAGATTTGCATTCAGAAGCATCATGAACGAAGAGAGTAAGTAATGCGTACTATTTTCTAGACTCCAATCCTCAGAAATCAATTTTATTATATTTTCCAAATTCAAGGAAATATTATTTTGAACAGGTGGCTCTGTCCCTTCATTAATGTTAAGAATTTTGTTCAAACTAGCTAGTTTGTCAAGAATGTTTTCACCTGATGTAATTTTTGTAAAGTTGACAATTTTTAGTTTTTCTGTGATTTCCAAAGCAACTTGCTTTATGGGACTACCAGGACAAAGTTCAGAGATGCTGTTATTTTCAGAAGGTGGGACAAATGGTAATACTTTGTCCCAAAATTCTTGCACAGTTTTCATAAGTGAAGTTTCAGACAGATTTAGAAGAATGGAATTCCACTCCACTAATTCATGAATTGCACAGACCACTTTCCTAGTTATTTCCACTCGGGAGCTTTCATCTGAACACTGTGAATCGTCACCTTGGTGAGACAGGTGAAGGTGGTCAAGTACACTGGCCACTTTGCTATAAAGAGAAGAAGGCCCTTGGACATCACATGCTTCTAACATTGGATTCTGCTGAAATCCAGAAGCTGTATGATTCCAGCACCAAATCACAGGAAGGCAAGTCAAAACCTCTGAAACAATATCTGGTTTATCTGACATTAATTCAATTGTATCCAAAAGGGTTTTTATCGCAACAGCAAAGTCTTCTTTGGTGATGTTTGAAATGCTTATGCCATGAAGGAGCATGAAGTTATAGACATCCTTGAGGCCCTCAGTGATATTTTTATCAACCACCCTCTGCAGGAGCCTTACGGCACGAGGAAGCGTGTGGTACACATCCACCACGGCATCCACAACATCTTCAGGAAACAGGCGTGAGAGCCGCAGTAGATGATTTACATTCCAAGAATGTGAACTCTCTACAAACTTTTCCATCAAGCCAACAAACAAGTTGGCCCCTAAATTTCCAGTTCCTACCCTGCTGATGTTCTTGAAGAAATCCACTAGGTTTGCACTCATTTGTTCAAGCTGATCTACGAACAGGTCTATGTCTGCCTTCTTGAGAGTACGCATGAGAGAAGTTACCCTCTTCAAAACTTGAATATGGCTTGTATTTTGTGGAATATTGTAATGAACTACAGGCATTAAGGAGTTGAACACATCCCTCATCAGTTGAATACCAAGACCCACACCTTTCCTTGTGTCACGTGAAATTACTTTTGATGAATTTTGGCGATCCTGAGATAAGTTGAGGGCAAAGTAACTAGCTAAATGATAAATGGAATTGCCCAAATTCCTTACATACTTTTCCTTTGGACTGGTGGCAACTATACTAAAAAACTTTTCAGTTTTAGAAGAAGAATTATTTTCCAGGATGTTAGAGGAAATATCTTTCATAAATTTCTGAAATTCCTTCCCCAGTTCTACTAAATGCAGCCAAATATTTTGAAACTGGTTAGAAATGTCATCTGACATTTCTGTGGGTCTTAGAATTAATTCAGTAAAATGTTTCCAGTTGGATTGAGATACAATATCAAAATCTCTTGTTAAGTTGTTGATAATCATCTTTACTTGCATTGTGGAATGATTTAAAAGAGCTAATAAAATCTCAAATTTTGGTACCTTCTCTTCCTCAAAGACTGTGGTAAATATAATATTTAGGAAGTCAGTTACATCTTTCAGGTAAATATTGACACAATTTGTATTTGACTCATTCAAGGAACAAAGAGGTCCCTTTACATTTAACATTGAAGTTACAATTTTCAATATGGAGTTCATTTTTTCCTTATCTCTGAAACTCCCTAAAATACTTCGAAGATGGCCTCGTGAAAAACTTGAGTTATACATCACATAGAGATGGTTTATGATGTCTACCCATGCAGTGCATCCTTTCAATCTGCTAATTGTGTTCTCAGAGGAAAATGTGGAATTTAACATGGTCAGAATATGAAACGTCCTCTGTGAGGTATTTATATGCAATAAGCCATTTTCTAAAATCAAGTCAGTAACATTTTGGAAAATATCAATGCAGGACAATAAATCTCGATCATGCGACACATTTCTAAGAAATAATATTGTTTCTCTTAGCTCAGTGATGACACTCTCAAATTGTACTCCATAAATTGTGAAATTATTTGAAAGAGATTGATTTATCAAATCTACATTTCTACCTATATATTCTGAGGTATGGCTGAACTCAATGAAAACTTCAAGCAGAGAATATAAAAACTCTCTGCTTGTACCTGCGTTTAATGGAAATGTCTTCAGCTGATGCAGGGCAGTTTCCATGGTGAAAAGGGATTTCTCCACCTGGTCCAGGTTAAGTGATTTTACTGTAACTAATGCATTACCTAATGCTACCAAAAGATCCCTGAGATCCAGGAAATCATCCCAATCATGGTAGTCATCAGTTTGAGTTACATTTTTTAACAAATTTAATATGAGTCTGGCAACATGATGAGTAGCAAATATTCCCTGGCAGCTTTTAGAAATTTTCACAGCATTTTCAAATTCATTCAAAAGCTGAGTGAGACCAACATGAAGAGAAGTAAAAAGATTCATGTCAAACTTAAATATTTGAGATATGCTTCCGCAGATTTCACTCCACACTTGAAGCCATGAAACAGTACAGTGAACAGCCATAAACTCATCGAAAACACTGACATTTGCTGAGAGGTTTGAAAAAATTTGTGCCCATGGAAGAGTAAATGAAGACCCCTCATCTGTTGAATAATTCACAGAAGAAATGTGTTTACTATCCAAAACAAAGCATTTGTTATCCAACAGGGCTTCTATTGAACCATTGAATAGCTGGCTGATACATTGAAATAAAGAAATGCGAAAATCTTCATCTACTGTGAACAGCTGTTTGAGGCCTGTCAAAGTAGCATGGATCATTTCCAATTCTTGGTCCTCTGTAGACATTAGGGATTGGGCTTGAAGCTCCAAAAAGTTAAAAATTGAAAGCGATTGCTGACAATAAGATATGTTAGAAATTCCCCCAAGAAACTCTGCTGTCTCAGATAAAAATGCAAATGCTTTACCAATGTTTTGGAAATGAAATTGCTTTACGATATCCAAAATACGTTTTGAAACTTGTGTAAGGAAAGTTAGCAAAGACCCTCTATTCTGAATGCTCAAGAATTCATAAATATATTGGTAAACTGAAGAATACATTTGCAGAAATAAAGCTGAATCCTTGTCTTTGAAGACATTTAAGTAGATATGAGTCAAAATTTTAGCAGCTTCTTGTTTTTGAGGTTCAGGAAGAGCTGAGAAAAGGTCAGATACATTCCTTATAGCATAGACTGTGTCCAGAGCTTCTGAGACTTGTTCCTGCCTCAGAAACCCAAATTCATAGAGACTATTTACTATAGTTTCACTTAAATGTACAAAATCCATGTTCATAGCTGGTGATATAGGCCAATTTGAATGGAACATGTGGGAAAAGTTAAAATTTTTACTAATAATCTCATCTTTAGGAGTAGAAAAATTTAAAATTTCAGAGAAGTTTTTCAATTTAGCTCTTTCTCCTTCTGAAATTCCATATAGCCATAATTCTAATAACTTGGGATTAATTTCAAAAAGGATTAACTCCATGAATCTCGAAATATTTCTTGATTCCTTTCTTTTCCAGTGACTTTCAAGAGTTTTCATTTTTTCAATCACTTCTTTGCTAAATTCCAAAAGTTTCTGAGAATCAATGGCAGATGGGTCTCTCTCTAAACTTTTTAAATGATTTATCCACAAAATACTTGTATTCATAATATCCTCAGTGAGAAATGGGAGGTTATGGAATTTGGGAACACTGGATGAGTCAAAAGGATTAGGCCATAGTAATTTCTCCAAAAATTCCACAAATGATAAAAGAAAGTTTATCTGTTCATCCTCAAAGGTATGCAATTTCTTTTCCATCCTTAGAAGGTGCTTTGTGAAATTTAAGGCCCTGTAATATTAATAGAATTGTTTTAATATCAGAAAGACAAATAAATTAATTAAATTTATCAAATTCTCAAATTAATACTCATTTATTGATAATAAAACATAAGTGAAACATTTACTAGACAATGTATTTCCCAACAGAAATTAAATTAATGTGAGCATTTGAAAGTTTTAGGAATTCACAATACAGTTGTATACATTTAGCTTAAAATGTGTTTCCTACAATCAAAAAGAATGCATTCTAAATATATTTTCCCCTATAAATTCATATGTATGATGGTTAAAGATAAGTTTGCTATTTATGCCAGAAGAATTTTAGGATTCAATTCCATATTACATCTAAAAATGACTTGGGCTGTAGAGGTAGTCCAAATAATGGGATGTATCAGGAACCTCGCCCATGTGATTTAAGGAAAACTGTTCAGATCCCTGTCCCAGGAGGCAGCTCCAGTGCTCTTTCAACAATACTGTACATGCTACTATTACAAACTCATTATTATAGTAGGGTACTTTCTCTTCAGGTGTTTATTTTTTCAATACAAAGGGTTCTCAGAAGAGCAACTCAGAGCTTATGACAAGTCCACTCTTGTAGTAGAAGTCCACCCTTGCAGAACTAATTTCTACTAACTCAGAAGTTACAAGTTCACTTTTGAAATCCTCAGGGCCATATGTGCTTCGTAATTCAGACATTCAGACTTTAGAAAGGTAACACGGTACAGGTGTCAGATATGTATGAAGGCCCCCACTGGCGACTGGGGCAGCCCTGGTGATCAACATATCAACACTTTGGCCGTGAGACCCGTGACCGGTCTCACTGTGCAGCATCCGTAGACTTGAAACAGCTACTCACTGGTCCAGGCAAAAATCTCTGCTGAATGAGTTGTGATGCCACCCACAAGAAAAGCTTTTATTTTCAGACTTTTAAGAGTTCCAAATTGTGGGTAAGGTATCTTGAACTTTATTGGCTATGAATGGCTAAAAGGTTTAATTACTCTGTAACTTCTTTAACACTGTACTACTACTGAGTTACACACTCTGTGACCTAGGACAAATAGAAGACAGATCAAAGTCAGAAATGTTTTCCTCTCTGATAGCTGAGATGTGAGCACAACAAATATACATATATGTGGGCTTAGTTTAGTTCATTGTTATTTGTAGGACAGAGAGTGGCTGCTTTGAAATAATTCCTGGGAAAAATTCCCATCAGGAAAGAAAAAGTTCTACTATTAGGAATTCAATACAAACCCTGCCTAAATCCAGCCTTGCATAGAAATGTATGTAAAACTAATATGCAAGTCATAGTGCATTGACCGAGGAGAATATAAAACTATCTTTATTTGCATGGGAAAGTGAGAGGATGCTATAGTAGCAATAGCAGTTTGAGTAACAATTGGTGTAAAAGTAGTACTACTAATAGTAATATTGCCACATTTTTATATCACTTGAGAGTTCATAAAGCACTTTCACAACTATGATCTTAGCTCATTGCTACAGCAGCCTTTTGAGGTACACATCATTATTTCCATTTCATGAAAAAAGAAACTTTTCAATTTTTTCTTAAATTAGCAGATTCAAGCTATTATTATGAAGCATGAAAAGGACATGGCCCAGATTTTCTCATTTCAAGTTCAGCTTTCTTATTATGAATTATACTTAATGTCCAATTGTTTTCGTTCATTAAATCAACATCTAGTTATCTAGCATCTGTCATAAAAGACACTGTGCCAACTGCTATGGGTCTACAAACACAAAATTAAACATGTCTTTGGAGCATATATAGACTCGTTTTGTCCCTGTCTTTCTAGGGCTATTGAATATTTGAGAATTTCAGGAAAGTGAGGCATTATAAATCTGACGTGAGCGAGGAATTGGTGCTCCAGAGGGTGCATACCATTGTCCTTTCTTCTGTTCCCACTAATAACTGGGCTTAAAAATTTCCCCAGGACTGACAAATCTCAGGTCTAGACGGATATAGCAGAATGGTCCTCAAACTTTGGTGTGCACAAGAACCACCTACAGAAATTGTGAAATATATGGAAACCAGGGCACGATTTCATATGTCTGGAGCAAGGTGAAGGCATTTGTATTTTCAGCAAATTTTATAGACAATTTGATCCATTCCTGAGTTTGAGAACTACTGCTCTAATGAAAAGCTTTTTCCCCATCATGTCCCAACACACCCCACAAACAATAAAGTTTGCCTTTAAACTGGACACAGTATCCATAACCACACACAAAAACCTCCATTTCAATTCATGTGCTGAAATAGCATAGCAGAAAATAATCTGGCAGATTTAGCTATAAAGATCACTTATCTCCCCCAAAGTCCATGAAACTACCAAAGTCTCAATTATTGATTCCATGTCTAAACACTAAGCAACTAGATAAGACCATTTTTCAAAGAAAAGCTTTATTTTTGGAGTATCTATTATAAATCATGTTACTATTTAAGGGAAATCTTATTACTATAATCTGTACTTCCTTTCCAAATCCATTGAGTCATACATTCTATTCAACAACTTGAAACTTGAGTCATACATTCTAGTAAACAAATATTTATTGAGCACCCAATATGAAAGACTATGTCAATACATAAATCAGGCTCATAAATTTTACAGAATGTGTATCCTATAGCTAGGCTTTGAGTATCTTCAGATGATAGTTAAATCAAGACCTGGAAGTTGAATTCTGATAACTTACCTGGATATGGAAGCTATTGGAGACTTGAGTAAGTTATTTAAAAATGCAACATAATTATCACTGATGATTGTCCAATCCATGTTTTCTTCATAACAAGGATATTCCTCAGAGAAAGCTAAACATAAAGGCATTTCACATATTGATTTCAAATTGGATATAAGAGACAAATCTAGTAAAGCAAAAAATGCTACAGTAGTTGAGCTAATTTTATATTTGAAAATATAAAAAAGGAGTTTTAGAAATCCTCTTAATTTGATTCCGTTTCCAGCAAGATGAAGTACCATTGGCCCTTGACTAATGGGGAACGCTGATCCGTGAGAGACAGAAAAGGTGAGACCCACGCCAATCCCAGCTTGCTGCCTTGAGAGAGAGTCCGGGCTCTGGTACAGGAAGGAAAAACTGAGCTAGAGCCCAGCGGACATGCTGAGTTGAGAGGTGAAGGTTAGAGTGTGAGAGACAGCAGAGAACCCAGCACAGAGCGCAGCGAGGGCTGCTCGAAGCAAGAACATGGGCAACGGCTTCTCTCTACTCTGCAGATGGGAAACACTCAACACATGCATGTGAGGAAACCACCTGAGACGAGGGAAAAAACCACCCGGAAGAATTAAAGGTAACAGTTTCTAGTGATCACACAGGACCAGGAACATACTGTTTCCATTAGCCCGACTGGAGCAGTTCATAATTCACTTGCCATCGGAGAACAGTAAACAAAAGGGGTCTTGCTCCAGGAGTGGGGAATATTTACAACCAGACTGAGCACTTCATCACTTCTGCCTCACAAATCTTAAAAGCAAGGCCCTAAAGAATCAAACTGTTTCAAATGATTTGTTTCAAGAGTCTTTATAGGAATACAAAAACAACCAGCACAAAACAAGATTAAAATGTGTATTATTTGGGATCTGATCAAAAATTATCAGGCATGCAAAGAAACAGGAAAATATGACCCTAATAAGGAGAAAAAATTCGATCAAAACTGACAGAGACGGTGGACCCAGCAGAGAGGAACACTAACCACATGAAGTAGTTTATATTATTTACTTTATACTATATACTTTGCACACTCCAATTAAAAAGCAAAATTTGTCATATCGGATAAAATAAGATCCAACTGTATGTTGCATGTAAGAAATATAATGACAGAAATAAGTTAAAAGTAAAAGGCATACCACCAAACACTAATCAAAAGTAGACTATCAAAGTAGATTTTAGATTATTATTATTTATATTAGATATTATCATTTTGTAATGATAAAGGTATCAATTAATCAATAAGATAAAGGAATTCAAAATGTTTATGCACATTATAACAGAGCTTTGAAACATATGAAACAAAAACTAATAGAAATAAGGAGAAATAGACAAACCCACAATTATAGTCAGAGATTTCAATATACCTTATGACAAAATATCAGTAAGGATATAGAAGATTTGTACAATATTATCAATCAAATTGATGTCATTGATGTTTATAAAACATCCAACCAACAACAACATAATACATATTCTTCTCCAGTGATAGAACATTGACCAAAGTAGATCATATTCTAGGCCATAAAACAAATTGCAATAAAGCTGTACAAAGAATGTCCACTGACTAGTGCAATTAAATTAGAAATCAATAACAAACATATATGAAAAATCCCAAATATTTGAAAACTAAATAGCATACTTCTAAATAACTCATGGATGAGAAAAGAAATCAAAAGGTAAATTAGAAAGTACTTTGAACTGAGTAAAAATGAAAGGACAACAGGCCAGTATTTGTGGAATGCTACTTTAAAGAAGTACTGAGGGAGAAGTTCATTCCACTAAACACCCACATTAGAATAAAAAGGATCTCAAATGGTTAACCTTGGTTTCCATGTAAAGAAACTAGAAATGGAGAATCAGTTAAATCCAAACTAAGTAGAATTAATAAAATAATAAAAATCAGAATGGAAATCCAGGAAACAGAAAAAGAAAAACAGAGTAGAATTAATGAAACCAAGGGCTAGTTCTTTGAGAAGATCAGTTGTGTCAATAATCCTCTAAGCAGAGAGATCAAGAAAAAAAGATGCAAATTATCAATATCAAGTATGAGAGAGGTGCTATTATCACAGAGTATATAGATATTAAGAGAAAATTGATTTATTGATTGAATTCAGTCTTGGTTAAAAATCTAGCAATACATCAAATTGTGTGCTTTAAATATGTGTGATTTATTGTATGTCGATTATATGTCAATAAAGCTGTTGGGTTTTTTTTTTTACAGAAAATACTTCTAATTTGAGGCAAGTAATTTAACCTCTGTAGTACATATTTTAAAAGCAAAATTGCATAAAATTTACCTCCATTATACTTCAGTGTTTTCACTGAAATAGATTGGCTTTTGTGTGTAAAATTTTACAAGTGTTTAAGGGGGAAAAAAGGGTGGAAACAATCTTGAAAACTAGCATGAGTGTGGGTGATTAACATCATATAGGAAAATGATTAATGGTACCAGAAAATCAAGCAGTATCAAAGAACATTTTTAAACAATATAAATAAATAAAATTGTCTATATTAAATTTCCTGGCTGTTGTTTGTGATGTATCATAATTCTGACACTCATTTCTGTGCGGAAGAAAAAGGAACTAATATTTATTGCATATGCCTACAATACCTAGGCATTTTATTAATACATACATTACTTTATTTAATCTTCATAAGAATCCACTAAAGTAAGCCATATAGTTTTTATTTTGCCAAGGATAAAACTAATTAAGACAGTCTGCTCAATAAAATCTGTGTCAGAGGCAATGTTTGCTCCCAAGTCCATCTGCTTCCAAAACCCATATGAAAGTACCACACTGAGTTCATGCTTCATCTGTACAATAAAACTGCACTCCGTAAATTTAAATAATTATAGCAGGATCTACTTACTAGAATAAATAGTGTCTCCATTATACAACATTCTTATCACGTGCAGTTGTTGGGGAAATAAGGAACATGTAACCTAAAAACGAATGCATCAGACCAGACCTGTTCTGTTATTATTCATGTCCGCCAGTGTATCTCATACCTCCACGTGCTTACAAATAGCCTGGGCACCTTCATAAAATACACATTCCGATTCAGCAGGTCTGAGGTGGGGCCACAATTCTATGTGCCTAGCAAGCCCCAGACGCTGCTGATGCCACAGGTCCAGAGACCGCACTTTGAGTAGCAAGGATGTGACCAGATCACGTGTGTGTAATACATGTGACACAGGCAAAGAAGAGCACACAGTCTGCTGATTTTCCTCAGTTATTATTCATCCCGCCCCACCCATGTCTCATATCATGGTCAAATTGTTTGAGAGTACTCTCATCGCCCAAAGCCTTCATATTTAAAAGTTCAGTATGGAAAAACTTGTGAGTCTGATGTGACTGAAGCGACTGTACTAAGTAAGGATTTCAACACTCTTCTCCCAGTTTCTACCTGCTGGATTCTACTCATCCTTCAAGTTCTGGCTCTAACAGCTCAAGTTGGTACCTGCTCTGTGCATCAGAGCCTCTTGCCAACGCCTGTTTCCAGATGTGTCCATCTCCCCCACTAACTAGGACTCTCTTGGGACCCTCTACCAAGCCCTGGAATCCCCATCCTTGTAAGGGTTGAATGTCCTTTGTAAGAGCCCAGATAAACAGAAATCTAGTCTGTTTTTGACCATCTCTGATGACAGAAACTGTTGAGGCAGCCCATTCTGATTCTGAAATTCTTTAGCTGTTAGAAGTTTTCCCTGAAAACTTCCAGTTAAATATGGAAGATCAAATACATGCATTTATCACCACTTATTCACAAAACACCACTAAAAATACAGTACAGAATAGAAAAGTATATAACCTCATAGATAAAATTAATGAAAAAAGAAACAAGAGCAGATGAGAACTATTAATATCAACATTAGAAGTACGAAAGCAAATGGACAAGGGGTATCTGGCATAGCAGAGAAGCAAAAGTTTAAGCTTAAGCCTGAAGAAGGAGAAGCCAAAAAAGAGGGGAGTTAATGTTCTTTGCAGAATCTCCCAAAGTCTCTTGAATTGGAGGTACAAGCATCTGACTATAAGTATGAGGAGTGGAATTAAAAATAGGCAGGTAAGTTTGGATAAAATTTTGAATAAGGAGAAATTCTAACACACACCCTTTCCATCAGCCTATCTAGGCAACTGTTCCTCCCCCATGTCGGCAGAAGATGAAAGGTTTACTAGCCTAGACAAATAGAGCTAGACTGTCACTGAGCTTGGAGTATCAGATACAATTGATAGTACGGATGTCACATCATTACTGGAAATATTGAGGGTAATTTAGCCTGTTAACTTTGAACAGTGAAATTCTCATCACCTGTTTATTGTTTCTTTCCCAGAATCCTGCACCTGCCTGTTGTTAACAGGCAATTGGAGAATTCTGCTCCTTAGGCTTTGGAGAAATTGACCCACCCAAGAGAAAAGATGTGCACCTATACCAATAATTGAGGATCATCTCATGGGCAGCGTGGCTTATTGCCTGATCACCCTGGAGTGAAGCCCTCTGGTTGACAGCCACCCCCTTGTACATGGCCCTTCCTGTCAGCGTTTTTAGCGCCTCCTTCTTACATATGAATGAACAACCTAGGACCATCACATACTGAGGAAAGTTTCCACATAAAACACAGAGATCACACAATCCAACAAAAAAAAGAAAAACTCAGAATAAACAGAAAATGCTTATATAAACTTGAAAATATAGGACTGTCTCAGAATGGTAAAAGAAGACGCAACAAGAGCAGAAAGTTATTTTTAATGAATATCTTCAGAACAAGACAAAGTTCTCAAAAATTAAAAATATGAAAAAAATTTTTCAACAGAAGTGTTTAAATAAAACTGAGAAAATATCCCAGAAAGTAGGAGAAAATATCATAATAGATTATAAAGTTAGGACTTCAATTGATGGCCAAAAGGAGTTCTAGAAAGGAAAGAAAAAAATGTAGGGTTTGAAATTACCAAAGAAATGATACAAAAACATTTTCTAAAATGTTTATTTTTATGTCCCATACTAACTCAAGCCTTCAAGAAATTTCAAAATACTGGGAATAAAAAAAGAATCCTAAAGTTTACCAGTAAGAAGGAAAAAGGGAAAAAA